TGCTATTCCAAAGGTCGCGGGTTCGATTCCCGCTCAGGTCAAACATTTGTGTGCATGAACATGATGATGATTTGATTTGGTCTGGGTGTTTCTATGTATAATATGTATGTATTTACAAAAAAAAGTATATATGTACTTATATCAGTTGTCTAGTACCCATAGTACAAGCTCTGCTTAGTTTGGGACTAGATGGCGTTGTGTGTATGTGGTAGAATATATTATTATATTATAGGTAAACGGGAATTTAGGTGAATTAAATTTATTTACCTATTATTAAAATACTAGCTTTTGCCCTTGACTTCGTCGGCGCGGTGATCGAAATTAGACATCGAAGAGGGTACAATGAATGAAATCTTTAATTTTGAAAAACTAGTTACAACGGTTTTTAATAAAGAATATTTACTGTGTTAAAAAACGCTGCTACCAAAAATTACGTAGTTTCATATAAATTTCCAACCTTACACTCTTAGGGGGTGGAATTAATACGTAGAATGACCTCCGTCCCCTATAAGCGCAGGCCTGGGAGTGGCGAGACGCGCTTCGAAGCTCGCGCGTCCTTTCGGGAGCACAAAGGGGACATAGGGCCCGAGGTACGTCGGGGTATCAGGGTTTTCCTTCCTAGGGTACACCTGGTTCCCCGGCAACTGGTACCCAAGACAGCGTGCGATTTTTGGTCGGTTCGAGTCCGACATAACCACCGGCGGGTGGTATCCGCACAGAAAAAAAGGGGGGAATTAATAAAAATCGTATCTTAGTGCACACCCACGTCACATAAGGAACATTATTTTGTGAAAAATTTCATGCTTCTATACCCAGCAAGTTTAGCTGTGCGTTTGTCGATCAGTCAAGCTGTCAGTTTCTTCTTTTATAGATAAAGATTTCAAATTCTACGCCTAAGCTATATACTCCATCTAATTTTTACTACTACAGATCGCCTAGCGCTCGAATTTCTACCGTTTTGTATTTTTTTTTATCATTAAAACTGTATCGTCAACTATCATTGTTTAGACTGTACCAAGACAGGTCAAAATATATACTGAACCGCTATAGTTCTATGGAGCTGTTTTCGACTTCATAGCACATATTGTACATAGTTCGTTAACATGTTAACACTAAGTATTCCAAATATATATCCGTTTCGTAACAAATGATGACCCATCATCATCATCAGCCTATCACAGTCCACCGCTGGACATAGGCCTCTCCCCTTGCATGCTACTTAGATCGATTTTGGGCTTAACAAAGGGTACTAAGATTTTTTTCACGTATTAATATACTAGCTGGTACCCGCGACCTCGTTCGCGTGGAAATTGAATTGAAAATGTTAGCGTGAATTAGTGGTGTAGCACGGTACGCAATTGTAGTCCATGAGGCTTCGAGTTCGAATCCCGGATCGGTAAAAATTTTATAAGGTTTTTCTAAGAGGAAAAATAGCCAGCCGTTTTGAAGATTACCCGGAACAAACAGACAGACAGTCAAAAAAATTGAAACTGGTTTTTAGGCGTAGATGTCGTGCAAATAACCGTGTAAGCATGAAAAAAACTTCAATTATGACACTTCAATGTTATTTATTTGTATAGAATAGATACGGATTGCTTAATTTTTAGAGATATTCAAAAATAATTAACAACAGTTTCATTTTTTTATTACGCTTTATTACACACTTTCTTCCTTTGATAACGTAATTTTTCTCAGAAGTACCGTAGGTACGTTCAATATTTAGTTGGATTTCTTGTCCCTAATTAGAGGAAAAAGCTTTTGATATGTCCTACCTTACTTTTTCTAACTGGACACTGACCCTATACAGATTAATTTTCCTTTCGTTAAAAGGTAACAGAAATACTTTCAACCTTTTGGTTTTTAAGGACACGGTTGGAGGAGATGAAAGAAATATTATTTTCATTGCTGTTAATAAGGTTTTTGGAGACTATATTTCGAATCGACAGTTTGATACGAAATGTAAGATTGTGATTGAATCTATGAAATCATTTTCAATGTTGTGTATAATGATCTCATTAAGAGTGCTTTGTTTTATTTTTCCACTATTTTTGAAACCTTGTATTTTATTTAAACACGGCCGTAGGGTCCTTAAACATGGATTTTTAGGCCAGGGAAGAGCAGTATTTTTTTTGTCAGCCAATTTAAATTTTTACGGATGGTTCCCCATCCGTAAAAGTTTAACCTAAACCTAAACAATTAACTTAAAATTTACTTCAACTAACTGAAGACTACGTCATGATGAGTAACTGGGGGTTCGGGGCGTTTTACCTCCACTGTCTTTCATGTCTTCTTATATAACCGTCTTTCGTCAACTTGCATCTTTTTGAATTAATCATGCATTTATCCATAAAACACAAACACAACATTGTTTGTTCACGTGTATAGTAACGTATAAACTGCATTCTGCGACCATTCTACATTGACATTGCTGTTTTTTTACTAGATGTTGTTAAACTGTGACCATATTAGAAGGTAATGTACATTAAACTGCCAATGACAAATGCTTTCAGCAAAAAATAAACTAGAATTTGTATATAATAACATATAACGTAGTTAAGTATAGGTTTATTAAGTAGGTATCTAAGTCATTGTTAATCTTATACCTATTAGTTACATGCAGTTTTACCTATTATCTATACTTAATATTATAAAGCTAAAGAGTTTGTTTGTTTGTTTGAACGCGCTAATCTCAGGAACTACTGGTCCGATTTGAAAAATTCTTTCAATGTTAGATAGCCCACTTATCGAGGAAGGCTATAGGCTATATATCATCACGCTAAGACCAATAGGAGCGGAGCACCAATGAAGAATGTTTTAAAAACGGAGAAAATTTATTACTATTGAGAGACGCAGACGAAGTTGCGCGGGTCAGCTAGTATTAAGATAATACTCGTATACACAGTAGGTAATTATTGTTTGTTTTTTTTCTCCGAAATAAATTATTATAATACAAAATTTTCATTTGGATATATCTAAATGTAAAACAGTGTCTAAGAATGGTAGGATTATAACCTTTTTGGAATAAAAATCTTTGTATTTTCAAAAATACTTATAGGAAATGCAGAAAAGAGTGTATGTATTAAATGAATCTTAAGTAAGTTATTGAATGCAAAATTATTGATGCTACGCTGTATTTACTGATAAAAGCGAACCGCTACATTAGCCATAAATATGTAGCCAAGACTATTTGTTGGACTATATTGCTGTTTTATAATAATTTATAGCACACACTTTTCAATAAACTATTACTATACTATATCTATAAGAATAAATAAAATTGAAGTGTCTGTTTGTAATGTCACGGTCAAGGCATTGCATTGCACAAAGGCGTGTGCGAGTAGCACATGTCCGGGAATCGAACCCACTAGGGCTGCACTTGAAAATACCGCTCCAACGAAGTCGCGAGCACCATATAGTTACACATATAATAGACACACATTTCGTGGAAACGCCATGCTTCGGCATACAAGGGCCATCTTGACCGCAATGATACCACGGCGTCACAAAAAAAAAACGGTGTTAAGCATTTTTCCCCGAGTTTTTCTTCGAGTGAGTTAGGTTACCACACGTTAGTATTGTCACCAATAGACCAATCCGCTTGTCTGTCTTCTATACCATAAAATAATATCCAATATAAATAGAAAAAACAAATTGAAATCTATCAAATTGAAAAATCGGTTTAATAGATTTATTAATTTGGTGTCAGAAACTAAGCAGCTTCTAATTTATTTTTAAAAGTAATAATTTACGTTATACGCATTTATCATTATGACTTTTAACATGATAAGACGGTCAAGTGCGGATTGAGTATTGTCTATGACAGAGTTAATACATTTAGTTGTCCGAAAAGGTGATTATCGTTATTTGTTAGCGTATTGTGATACAGAGGCGAAGTGGGTGCTGCGAAAGATTGCTTGGTTCGTGTCCTGGGTCATGATCACATACATCTTGTTTTAACAGTGATTACTTGTGGGGACACAGAAGTATATTGATAAGGCCAACAAAGAAAGAAAAATATAAATAAGATAATAAGAAAGAAAGAAAGAGATATATTATGTTAACTTTCAAAAAAGTATGACTTATCACCGAGGAGTGCGGTTAACGGAGGGTTAACTCTTAATTCTAAGGGAGAGGGTACTTAAACTTGCGTCTTCCGATTTCCAGGTGTCCGTAGGTGGCTATAGTTACCATCAGGTGACTTGATTGCTCTTTTGCCTCCATACCGTAAACAATTAAAATTACTAGACAGTAAGCGGTTAACTGCGTTTATTGCAGCTTGTCTAATTACCGGAACCGTTAACTTAAAGAAATCTATGCAAATATACTACGATTACTCAGTGTAAGATCTAGTATTGTTAACTTGAAAATATCCTTTCAACCATAGAGGCGCTGCTATTTACAATTACAATCCAAGATAATATTTAAAATCCATAGAAATTATGTAATTATCATTATCTAAAACTAGCCATCGCCCGCGGATTCACTCGCGTAATTATTTCTCATTTCGTGTTACTCATTTTAAAAATTACGAACTGCCATACAACGGTTCATTCCTTATTATACCCCTTTAAGGGTAGAATTTCCAAAAATCTTTTGCGGTGTTTATGCTTACTACATAAAAAGTATAATGTAATAAAATATACCTCACACATCTCACATACGGCCGTCTGATTACAATCTAGAAAGCACAGGCTAAAGTAACCAGACTGCTGATAAACATATATTTATAAATACATACATATTATAGATATATTACACCCAGACACAGAACAAATGACCGTGCTCCTGATACAATATTTGTCCTGGGTAGGAATCGAACCCACGACCTACGGCTTAGTAGTCAGGGTCACTGACCGCTAGACCAACAGGCCCGTCAGTATCAGATGCCAAAATGTCAAGTTTATAGAGCGGTTTAGGCGCTGCCAGTTAGTTAGTCAGTCAGGGCAAATATTTTACATGTATAGATGTAGAAATTTAATACTTATTTGTTTAAATTTCAGGTGTCAATATTATCTTCACAAACACCCATGGGTTCCAGCATACCAGGGCGTCATAACGTTTTTTGTCCTGGCCAATTTTACCCTAGCCACTTTCATGGACCCGGGAGTCATACCAAAAGGTACGTGTATTAAGTAGTAGTTTCCCTGACTAATCCTTAGAGCTGATATCATTAGCAATCCTTTGACTGCACGAAAGACGTAGTGGTTTAAGCAGTCGCCACGCCGCTTCCTACTGCGCTGAGTGTTGTTGGTTCGATCCCCACATAGGATAACACTATGTAATCCACTAGCTGTTGTTCTGAATCTGGGTGTTCTTTGTGTCCATTTCGTACATGTTTGTAAACTCCCCTGCGACACAGGATATATATTACTAATGCGGGAGCTGTGTTTAAAAAAAAAACCTCTGCAGTAATTATTATTGTATATGATCGGTATCGGCATAGATTATCTAGGACATTAAACATTTTTACCATACATTTAAGTACTAAGGTTATTATAAATTGAGCGGAACGCCTACAAACTGTTAGAACAGTTAGGCGAATAGAGAAATTAAAAAAAATGTAAATCAAGTGTGATTAAAGTTTATAATAAAATAAAAAATAAACCTTTCTTTGACAGTGATGGCAACACCCACTGTCTCTAACTCTCTACTAAACATATGTACTTTGAATAAAGTATACGTGACCTTTATTTTTAAAGATAAATTTTTAGCTTAACTAAATCTTGTCAACCTTTTTACGAGAGGCGTCCTTTTTATAGAAGTAAAAGAAAATATTATTAGAAAAGATAGTACGAACTTTATCAAGACAAGTTACTTTATTTCTGTAATATTTCCAACATAAAGAAGAATCCGTTGAGATTAAGTACTGCCACGTTAATAACATAAGATAGGACATAGGCCTTTCCTTAGAAACCTCCTTTCTAAGGAAAGGCCTATGTCCAGCAGTAGACTACTAAAGGCTGTTGATGATGAGTAGCCAGGTACTGCACCGGAATGCCAAAAAACGACGGTCTATGTAGGTACACTATCGCTAATGTTAAATAAAATATCCCGAGTGCGTTTGCCAAAAATGTTAACCAAGTGAATGAAAGTAGCTAGCTAGACAAATTGCCGGCCGAGTTCTTACAGTCATGCGTTTGTCATACCAATAAAACGCTGTCTTATCTTTCATGAATGTAAATATGTGACTATCCTATGCCGCCCTAGATTAGTCAAGTTTGATTTAGGTACTTTTTCTATGCATTATAAGGGTATGGTTTACAGGCTTCATGAGCTAGGTATTTTTTATTAAGAAGTAGATAGCTGTTTTGATATATATACTATATATATTTATATGATATATTATCAAAACAAATAAAGATTGCAAATAAACTATTCAATTTACCAGAGAATCGTGGTTACTTGACATTAAAGAGCGGTTACGCTTGCAACGACTCTGAAATGAATTCTTGTGACGTTAAGCGTATTTCGTAACATCGAAAATATTGTAAAGTTATTTACGTTTGGTTTTATAGGTATTGACTTACATAAACGTTTAATAAAAATCTTTTACAATATAATCAATATATTTATATACAAGAATTTGTCTTTAATGCTATTGCTACTTTCGGATACTACTTACTATTGAAGAAGAAAAATAAAAGATCCACGGCAGGTTTTTTCTACCTATAATGCTTGTACACTTAAATAAAAAAAATGAGAAATTGAGCTATAGAAATAAATAAAATTAAAGTGTCTGTTTCTAATGTCAAAATAATAGGGTTTTTCATGCTCATACGGTTATTTGAATACCAAAAATTATTTAAAAACCAGTTTAAATATTTTTGTCTGTTTGTTCTGGGTAATCTTCAAAACGGCTGGACCGATTTTGATAATATTTTACTTAATATTTTACACTACTCGAACCCGAGGCGTCGTGTATTGCAGTCACGTACTGTACTGTACACCCTAAGGCATCGCTTTTCAAATTCCACGCGAACGAAGTTGCGGGTACCAGCTATTTCTGTATATAAACCGTGAATTCTTGTAATGCAATTATTTTGACACCTTACTTATTGATTTTCTAATCGGTAATGGTTTCTTTAACGACATAAAACTTTTAAATAACGACAAAAGGAATTATTCCTTTGGTAAGAGAAAATAACGGTTCTTTTTTCCTCTATATCATCATCATCTCAGCCGAAATACGTCCACTGCTGGACATAGGTCTTCCTCAAGGTTCGCCACAACAACCGGTTCTGTGCTACCCACATCCAACGGCATCCCGCGACCTTCACCAGGTCGACGGACCATGTTGCGGGAGGCTTACCCACGCTCCGTCTTTCGTTACGCGGTTACCACTCGAGAACTCATATTATCTTTTCCCTCAATATACTTAAAATACAAAGGTTTTTTGTTTACAAAAATGTGTGTTATATATTGCGGATTTCCGCATAATTGTGATGACGTTTTCCTTCTTGTGTACAAAGAAAAGTATGAATCATCAGATAAATAATAGTGATTATTTTTTGCCTTCCAGCTCCACCTGACGAGGACAGAGAGGACGATTTCAGAGCCCCCCTGTATCGCAGCGTGGAGATAAATGGTATCACGGTGCGAATGAAATGGTGCGTCACGTGCAAGTTCTACAGACCGCCGCGGTGTTCGCACTGTTCTGTTTGCAATCATTGTATAGAAGTAAGTTGATGATCACAATATTATATTAAGAAATATTTCACTATCATCATCATAAACAGCCTATAACAGTCCACTGCTGGACATAGGCCTCTCTTTTAAAAGAAGGTTTTGGCCTAATATACCACACTGACCAGACGGGTTAGTATAGGGTTTGTTTTAGGTTTTTATCTTTTAGTGTCCACACGGATCAGAAATATTTAAATTTAGCAAATAATATAATTTGACTAAGTAATACTTTGAAGGGTTTTAATATTAAACTGTCACTCACCGACGCTCTTACTAATATAGTGCCTAGCCTAGATGCCGTCAATTTATATTTATGGATGGATAGATATAAGATGGAATATCATTCCATATTATTTGAATAATATTGTTGACATTATTTCTTTAATTTTAATGTTAAGTAAGTTGCTCATACAAAAGCTCATGTGAGTGTAGTTACTCTGCTCCATGTTGAGTAGATAACTAGTCTATAACAGTAAGGACTTCAACAATCATTAAAAATAGCTCCATACCCAGTATACATGTGAAAACAGCATATTCATAAAATAAAACTTTTAGATACTACTTTTATTTACATAGTTTGTAGTTTTCTAACTTTGTGGAATCCAACCGCAAGCTAAATTTTTCATTCCTGTTCACAGACGTTTGATCATCATTGTCCGTGGGTGAACAACTGTATCGGTCGGCGGAACTACAGATTTTTCTTCTTTTTTCTAATATCACTGTCGATACATATGCTGAGTATATTCGGCCTCAGTTTGTACTATATTATGAATAATAACAAAACATTGACGCAGGTCGAGCCCATTGTATCGTATCCTTTTAATAAAACATTTAAAATAAATGAGTAATTTCAAAATACTGTTAAATTTTTTATCGGTTAGTGACGTCACTAAATGCTATGCAAGTGTTTTTTTTTTGTTTTTAAATTATCCTCAGCCGTACCCTTAAAAATTGGTTTTCCTGAACTTTATTACCAGAATAGTGATAATGGGTATTATCGCACTCCTAGCGATACCAATATTCGGTCTGACCGGGTTCCACATGGTGCTAGTGTCGCGGGGCCGCACCACGAACGAACAGGTGACCGGCAAGTTCACCGGGGGTTACAACCCATTCTCGAAGGGATGCTGGCACAACTGCTGTTATACGCAGTTTGGACCTCAGTACCCTAGGTAAGTATAAATATTTTTGTTACGGAAGAACTTGAGTGAAGGAGAAAGTGACTGTCCTAGTCAAGCAGATTGATAGAGCAATGGTTTTAGTGAGCAACTTACACAAGCCGGTTTTAGTATTATCTAGTCTTTTGAAACAGACATCCCCAAAATAATAATTCTTCTCATTGATTAAGGAAACTCATCCCACATCATACCACAAATCAACAGCCTTTAATTACCAGAATAGTAGACATAGGCCTCTCATTGGAAAGGAGGTTTTGGCCTGCTGTACCACACTGGCCAGACGGTATAGGTTGGTATAGGATTTATGTCAAGTTTTCCTTCTTTTTGAGTGCTGTTAAAAATCTAGGGATTTACATTGATAATACCTTATCCTGGGGCCCCCAATTGCGAGAGGTCAGTCGAAAACTGTTTGCATCGACGGGATCCTTGCGAAGACTACGCAATTTTCTCCCAACGGCAACTAAAATTGCGCCTGCGCAATCCCTCCTCCTTCCTATACTCGACTATGCTGATGTCAGATAATCGATGTCGATATCACTAGGAGCAACTCGATAAACTTGAGCGCCTTCAAAACTTTTGTATAAGATTTATATTTGGATTGCGCAAATATGATCATGTATCTGAATATCGCAATCAGCTTAAGTGGCTCCCAATTCGCCTTCGACGGAATGCTCATATTCTTTCCTCACTTTATAGTATTCTATTTCATCCGTTTACTCCAACTTATTTAAAGGAACGATTTGTTTTCCTTGGTGACACACATTCAAGGTCCCTGAGGTCATCTGAATCTCTGGAACTGGCAGTACCATCACACTGTACCACGTTTTACGATAAGTCGTGTACTGTACAAGTGTACAGGCTGTCCGACTATGGAATGCTTTGCCAATGCCTATAAAACGTGCAAAAACTTTACCTACCTTTAAAAAAATGGTCAAAGAACATTACCTGTCATTTTAATTTATTATTTACAAAACATATCCTATCTGCTGCATTCCTCTGCAAATGAATGGTAGAGTTTATGTATTTGTGTATGTATTACAGATTCCTTATGTATTTACTTGTATTTATAAAAGTAGGTATTGCTAGGACTGACTGCTGTATATAATTAACACTACTTAGTTTGTAATTGTCAAAGGAATGCTGTTGTGCTGTATAAATATTTTTCTTTTGTTTTTAGTTTCCTTTACACTTTTTTCTCACCAAATCTGCCCATGAAATGACCTATTTACAGTCTATTTGTCCATCCAAGGGTTGCCTGTAAGATATTGCTTTTTAGCGATAAGGCCGCTATTTGTACATGGTCATTAACTTGGAATACTATTGTGTGTATAATATCCTGAATTGGTGTACAATAAAGATTATTCTACTCTATTCTGTTGTCTTGCGTAGTTATCTCCTTTAGTCGACTCTTATTCCACATCCACATTTTACAAACAATAATTTTATTTCACTCATCACATAATTGGGGATAGGCCTAGGGTCAAGCGGACTTTTTCGAATTTATATACTCGTATTAGCAAATAGAAAGTATGTTATAAAGTTCTACCTTTCGGTAAAAAAGATTAACCAATTGAAGGTAAGGCATATTGGTTATACAAAGGAATTGAGAAATATAAGCAATATTTCAAGCAGGATTACCGTGGGAGTGCCATCACATCATCTATCACACATCGACAGCCTTTAATAGTCCACTGCTTAACATAGGCCTCTCCTTAAAAGGTGGTTTTGACAGACTTAGGGAGAGCCATGCTTAGGAACAAATGGGCCGGCTCGACCGGAGTGATACCAGGACCTCACAGAAAACTGGTGTTAAGCCCAAACCCCTCCTCCCTCTTATTCTGGGAGGAGAATTCAAAGGGTGCCAACGCCATGGTAACTCTTCAGTTGCAGGTGTCCATGGGCAGTAGTAGTTACTTACCGTCAGGTGACCCGTCTACTTGTTTGCCCCCCTATACCATAAAGAAAGTCACTTGTGTCAGAAGGTAGTTTGTGCCGCTAGACGGCGTGTCAGTCAATTTTAGCGTCAGTAGTATATTAAAGCAAATATAGCTCTTCTCTTTCTCAGGTTCACTTGAAACTGAGCTAGTAAAGAACATTGATGACGCTGTATTGACTGTCGCGCTTTCTATGGCCCCCCTCACAAAGGTTTGACGTTATTTCATTGCAGTAGAGAAAACTATATTGCCATCATCCAATTATTTTATCTAATCTCATCATCATCTAAGTATTTACTGCACTTACTTTGTATTTGTGGGCAAACCGGCTCCTAGCACACATAATGTGCCCAAGCAACGTCAAATTATTTTAGCTGTCAGTTTATAATAAATAATATAAAATACTGAAAACTTTATGGAAATAAACATCGAAATACACCATTTATGTTTAATGCTCCAAATATGACACCAACCAAACTATGCTAAAATCCTTTGGAAACAGTTTTGTTGTCACATTCTACGCGTTCGCTACGAGTATGGCGTTTTATGTGTAGCCAAAAATTAAAATACTACATCTAATATAGGTACATTTAATACTTTAGAAGTGCAAAAAAAATACTACCACTTTAACAAATGACAATTTGAAACTTTTGTTGTTAATATGTTGGAATTTTTTTTCCACCACTGGTGTCCTTTTAAAAAAAGCGAACGTCTTTTTAACCCGATTTCTCGTTCACAGTGTTGCTTTAGAAAAAGTTCTATATGAAAGATATGCAGTTATAATTACATATTTTTAAATAGATTCTTAAAATATCTTTATATTAGTGTTTCGTAACACAAAATTCCAAGAGCAAACAGGGCTCATCGTAGCACCAGGTAGAGGCGGTGAAAAAATACAACAATTTATGCTTAATTTTGCATAAGCATGTCACATTTGAAGAGAGTTGAGTTGCTCATAGGGATATAATATTTAGTTAAAATAAACTAAATGTTAAAAGATCTAATGTAATCAATATAATATGTGAATGAATAATGATTGATTGGATATTATTGTCAGTTTTATTTGTCAAGCTAATTATTTAAAGTATGTAGGTAAGTGATTTGACGTGAGCAAAATAATGACGTCACAAGTCATTATTTCATTCGGATTTATACAAAACATATAGTTTTGGTGTTCCATTAAGTTTGTACGATTTGATCGGACAGTCAATAGCGGTATTTCTTTTATAGCAACTATCGTAAAATTAAGAACTTCCAAATTGAACTTTCAGTTTAGTCCGACCATCGAAGTACATCTACAAGAGCAGCAAAAAGCGGCGGGAAGCGATGCCCGGAGGAGGACATTCCGCTTCGGCAATATCAACGATAGCAACAGATACGCAACACCAGGTAAAGACGTACACGGCAGACAACGGGAACGCGCACCGCCCGGCCGGACCCCACGCACACTATAACAAGGTGAGAGCCAGACGCTTTGCTATCATTGCTAAGCTAAGCTATGATATCGGTGATGTGATTGTAAATTTGAACCGTGATACGTTTATTTTTGTTTCGGTTTGTCAAAGAGCACAAAATTATGAAAAGAAAAAACCCAAAAGTTAATAAAACTAGACTAATTTTAATGTTTGTTTCTGATCCTACAGAAAACGTTGCTCGCCTCATAACTTTTTGTTGTGTATGATTTAAAACTTCTAAGATATCAACTTCTAACACAAAAAGTCACTAACGTCCAGAAATTAAAAAACGGTTGCCTCATCGGCTTTCAGGTCACAACTAGATGTGATACTTGTGTGTTGCTCAGTGTGTTAACGGTGACCATAGACACATAGAGTCAGCAATCTCGTATAATGTTACATTTGCTTAAATTATAAAAAAAAGTGCTTTAAAAAGTCACGACGTTGAACACAACGGAAAAATAATATTTACACAAATAAATTTAATATATTTCTAAAAATGCTGTTATACTAGAACTACTCAATTTGGCATAACCAATTTATTTTTTATCTCAAATCAGTGTAGGGAAACGTATGAATGATTAAAAACTACGTGTAAAATATAACTTTTTTAACTAACACCTGTATGCCATATACCATTTCACAACAAAGTATTTAAAACTATCATTTCCCGCTTTATTAGATAAAATACAGCTTGTGTCATATAAGTACGGTAGTTTCATCTAGACATCATGCTTGTAGAGCGAATTACATACCTTCAATTCACTGACATACTGTTTATGCACTTGCACAATTTTAATTAACTTTACACTGAATAAGTGAATTGAAGACATGATATGTCTGGCTCTCTACTAATATGTTCGACTCTGCAATCAGGTAATGTAGAAGTGTGTCGTTAACGGTGTAAATTACAATACCGTGAAATTATTGAGAATGCGGAATATGCATGTATTTTTTCGAAATAAATTGATAAAACTTAATTAAACTCATAATAAAAAGTATGACAGGCATATAATTTTTATAGACAAGTGACATCATTACTCTTGACGCAATGAAAACACATTACATACAATATTCTAAAATCAAAAGCACGCTGTCAAACGTTTCTTTACACGTTATTGATGGAGTAAGTACCGTCTTTAAATTTAATTAAATCAGTTACATGCATGTACCTTAATATTTTTAAAATTTGTAAATAAATATTATGTATATATGTTGTTTAAATGTATAATTAAACATATCTCGCTGATATTGCACCTTATATAACTTATTTAACACTAATTGTATTCGTTCACTTGTATTTAAAACTGCTTTTGTGTTTTAAGGTTGAAACCAATTCAGATGCTGCATACCATATCTGTTTTTTGGTCATCGCTTTATAGCTAAGACAACACTACGTGGTTAATTGACGCACTGGATAGCGTAGTGGTTTAAGCGGTCACCCGCCACTTTCTACTGGACTGGGCTTTTTTGGGTTCGATCCCCATATGGGTCAACATTTTGTGTGATCCACAAATTTTTGTTCCGATTTCTTTATTTTCGTTCCATGTATGTGTGTAAAGCCTTCCACTGCGACCCAGGGTATATATTTCTGGTGCGTGAGTTGTCCTATAAAAAGAGAAAAAACGGATAATTTTGAAAGTATTTAATAGTTTCGAAATCGAAAGAATTCCCAAATTTTAGATTGTTATATTGCAAATCGGGACAAATATAAGTGCTACTTAAACCATTCCAAAAAATTATAAATAAAGATTGATTTAGAATACGTAAAAACATAACGCTAACATTGTGCCAGGATTAAGGACCTTTTCCGGGAAAACTTTAAAACAGTGTAAGTTTAGCATATAAGTATGCGAGCAGTTGGTTGGTTTTAGCCTTTTTTATGTGAATAACACTAAAAATATATATTCTTTTGTCGATGTTTAACATTCACATGCTTAAAACTGCTATATGTTTAAAGCAAATGTGACTTGTGTGATTTGTAATTTTTTTTTTAACATCACACTGACATCTCATATTTTATAACCACATGGACATTAAATTCCTTAGTGACTTGTTTGCGACAGATTTGCAATTTATCTGAAGAAAATTATATGGAAGTGTGAATAATATAACTTTTCTTTGAAGGTGGTTAATTGAAATAGGTAATAGCTAAATAGCTAAATTCAATAAACGTCGTCGCAAAAATCGCAATTACACGCCGCTAAACATCTCGAACTAACAATATGAGATTAGGTGCACAAAAATCGCACAATTTCGATAGCGCTTTTACACACTGAATCTATATCCCGTGTTCTCGTGTCTGTAATATGCTGGTAATAAAAACGTAATATGTTTCGAGACAATTCCAACATCATTAGCTACGATTTTACTAACACCGACACTATATCAGACTATATCTGTCGATAGTTCATTCGCATTAAGAAAATAGTGACGCATCGATTAAGTCCCGATCATCATTCAACCTTCACCAATCAGGTTAAGTCAGAATCAAATATTCATCATATTTTCTTGGAACCTGATTGGTCAGGGGGCGGGCCTTGATCGATGCGTCACTATTTTGTCTCACAATTTTTTTGACACGAATATTACCAAAGATAGATGACAAATACTTTTTTTTAAAGCATTCTGACAGCAACTTATTTCAAAGATTTTTACCCAGTATCAACTGCTCTTCGCGGTAGCTAAACAACACAGGACACAACAATGAGACAAATATTTTTTTGCACGCAAGTGTACCAGCGCAAACTTTTTCCTGCTTCGAGAATGTTCAATACCTATACCGGTTATTGTACACCATTAAAATAAGTTAAGATTCCTTGTTGTCTTTATTATTTATGAGCCACATGTTTATACCATGACTGGCAAATAACACGTGGATTGTAAAGTACGTGTGGGCGGCGCAGCTGTCTCCCGGTCGCGAGGAGGGCGAAGGAGAGCTGGATGGGCCCAGCGCGTCGCAGTCGGCGGACTGCGAGCCTACTCCGCCACCCATGCAGCGACGCGGCTCGTCTGCAAACCTGTTCCCACCGGAGCATCACCATCTACCGCCAAGGCCACATCATTATCCAAGACTCAGTCCACTTTCAAGAAATACAAGGTAAGGTTTTACACAACACAATATTATATACAGGAGGATAATCTTCATCTCTCACATTCCCTTACATAAATATTATACAAGCCAAGGTTTTACCGAGGTGTTTTTAAATTTTAGGTCCTTTATGTCACCGCAACAGTTAAGCTTGTCTGAAAACACTATTGCTTCTCTAAAAAAAAAGTGTGTTTGTGTTTTGTTGTGTTTTTTTTTCATATAATTGCCTACGTATTAACGGTGTAATAATATACGTTACCAGCGTTATAGTATTAATATCAGAAATCTTTAAATTGTTAGAATGATTTACTGACGGGGTCTACCCGCAGATACATATTGCAAATGTAATTTTTTGACACGATATGTTGTGGACAAACGGTTGATGTTGAAAAATTGAAAATATAGTCATCTCAGTCAGTCATAAGCCTCTCCTTAGAGAGGAGGTTTTGGTCTACTATGCCATGTATACTATGTGTCAAACCTCATACCAACCCTTCTCTCTAGTAATATAGTCGTAAACATATTAATCAGGGTTAAAACTTTCTCTGTGCAATACAAGATTTGCAGTTACTCCGTCGTTCGGTGTGTCTTCGTTAGATGGCACTGAATTATGTTTTTGTTATTTATATGTGGAGTCGCCACAATGTAATCGATGCTGTAGGTAACATAGTTTAAGTAAATATTAACGTACGACTGTATAAGCGTATCTTAGATGTTCAAAGTATATAAATTCCTTTGCCATACCCGTTACAGCCACGGTGGCAACACGACAACGGGCTACCGGGTGGTAATGGACCAGGTACGGTACGAGACCGGGTCAAACGGTGGGGCTCGGCCCTCGCCCACTATGCAGCAGAGAATCAAGGCGCTCGGTGTTCCAACGCCTTTAGCTGTTAGCAGCCCAGTCAGAAGGTATGTATGAAAAATAGTCAAGGAGGTCGACAAGCGGAGACTGAAAGCTCAGATAAAAAAATGTTGTTGGTCAAATTATTCACATAATTTAAATGACGGAAATCGTATAGTCAAAGAGCCAAATAGAGTTTAATTTGTAGTGGTGATACAAATCGTAAATATTCAATATTACTGTATAAATAATTCAAAGATTCACATGTCATTTGCCAAAATCAAACCTGTTCAAGAAATAGAAGTGGTTATTTTTTTATAGCAATATTAACAAATTATATGGACTTAGTCTGAAAATAAATTATTATTATTATTATATTATTATTATTAATATAAAAAAAATACTATCTTAAAAAAAGGTTTTTGTCGGTTCAAGTCCAAAATACCACATTATCGTGAGATGAGAAAACCAACTTCCTTTATAAGATTACACACAAAATAGTAAAGATGCAGTAACTATGTTTCGACATATCAAGAACAATCCTTTATTAATAAATTTTACTTTACTTACTTTATGAATGACCCTTTACCCAGTTTTTACTACGAAATTTAAATATGTCTCCACTTTTATAGTAAGTAATTACTTTTTGGAAGTGTTTTTTTTGTGTTTTTACAGTCCACCACCATAAAGAGCTTTTATTGACAATATTATATTCTTCTTAAAAAGCTTTAAATATTAAAGGGTTGGTTTCATGACACGTAGTCGTATTTTTTTTTCATTTTGCGATTTGTCACCAACTCTTATTAAAACTCTTGTTATTTCGCCGTTACGGAAAAAAGTGATAATTCTTCATGGTAATTGTAAAATCAAAAGAATTGTCTATAGTTGTTTTAATTTAGCTTAATGTTCTTTCAGTTTCCGCACGCAGTAATAAAAAAATACATTTCAAAATAGTTTCAATAAACACTACACTGTATTAAAATGCTTAACTGAGATATGTTATTAGATCAAAATTTCAAATAAAGGAATAATTGGCAGAATTTTGAGAGGAGAAAATGTTACCATAATGATTAAATAGGTATTTATATTATTTTCCATTGTATCATGGCCTGTTCCTATCATTAACAAAAATGGTTTTTGATCCCCTTCTACCTCAACCGGGAATGCATCGCTTACCACAACATTGGTCAAAAATAACAGTACAACTTCGGATATAGATAATTTAATTTATACAAAAAAGTCCATTCATTGGCCCCTCTAAGGTGAACTGATTTGGTTCGACTCATTTGTTTGAATTTAAGTAAAAGTTGTACCATTGTTTGTGGCCTTTATTGTGCTTATATGTTTTTATTTGATTCAGTGTTTATTTGCATGTAAAATGTTTTGCATTCACGTATTAGCGGTTACTAAGTTTGGGAACACTAAATATGTGTTGATATTTATTGTCATTGGTGTATATTTAGCTTTATAAGACGTAAGGGTCGCTTACTAACGTAATTATGGTGGTTCCGAAAAGGAGGGTAGTCAGAGAATCGACTTATTTTTCTATTTTAAAGTTCTTAGGTGATTGTATTAGTATAGCTAATTACTATACAAGTGTGTTAAAAGGTTTGTAAGGAATAGAGTTATGCAAATAGCTAGGGTCGTGGTAGGTAAACTTGTCATCATCATCATCAACAGCCTATACTAGTCCACTGCTGGACATAGGCCTCTCCTTAGAAAGGAGGTTTTGGCCTACTATACCACGCTGGCCAGACGGGTTGGTACAGGGTTTGTTTCAAGTTTTCCTTCTCTTTGCAGTGCTGTTGTCCTGCTTAGTTTGCTCCCTTAGTCGGCTCTTACGACACCCACGGGATGAATTGGGGTGGTGACAATTTGTATTCTTAATCCGTCACCACACGGACATAAACCACACCACAGTAAACTTGTATAGGCCAGTAATTGGTAGTACTTCTATTATGGAGAGTACTTCGACGAACGGTTCGGACTTACATCGGCCATATATTTCCTCTATCGGTCACGCGACTTAACTTTCGTCCTCTTGACTTGGATAAGTGCCACTTAGAGGATTCGATCCCGGGATCCCGGTCATATTTTAGTCCCAAAATTTTCGGGATCAAATTTAATGAATCGGGATTTTCGGGATTGATACATTTTTTACATAAGTCAATAAAAATGTGCATAAATAGAAACGCACTTGCCTTGATTTGATGTTTTGACAGCCATCTTGTCTACACAGCTTATTTCATTTGTTTTTGCTAATGACCGGTTCTGGATTATGCGTAAAAGTGTGTAATTTATAAAGTTTCTGGGCAATTTAATTAAAAAATATGAGTAGGTATCTATAAACATTGGTCTCTTAAGCACATAGTTTTTTTTTAATAGTTTATCTAAATAAGTCTAAAGAAGTTGATTTTTTGAAGTTTATTGTTAGTTTCATAAATTATTTACCGCAACACAAAACAAACTAGGCACTAATTTGTTTATTTTAAAAGAAGAAAATATAATTTTTGGTTAACCGCCTTTTTGGAGAATTAAAACTTAAATATTCTATGTCAAAACTAAATGATAAACAAAAAAAAATATTTTGATATGTTTTACTGTCTTTTTGTTACCACTTTCCATTGCCAATACAATCCCGGGACTATCCCGGGATCCCGAGATTAACTGTAGATAATCCCGAAATCCCGGGATTATAAAAATCGACCGGGATCGAATCCTCTAGTACCACTCCATCACTGTCCGATTTTCAAGTTTTTAATAGTGGAATAAATTGTCACCTGCATTACCTCCTGATCTATAATACCTACAAACTGAAAAGAGCGTGGACCCACCTCAAAGATCGACAAGATACGCTTGAGATAAGTGTTGGATAGACAGGCCCGTCTTTGTCCCTCCTTCGGCTCCCACTATCTTTTTCACTTGGTGTCTGTCCATAATAGAAACTCTAAAATCTATTGCAATATTACACATTGGCCCTCAATAAACTCGAGAAAGAAACAAGATAAGAATATTTAAATAGGATTTCCTCGAAATCAAGTTTCATTATTATATTTATTAAAGTGATAACTTGTTATGGGAGGGTAAAGCGTTTCGTTACGAAACAGGTTACGGCGCCAGTCACTCTAACCCACAGTGTATTTCGTACACGCATTACATAATATTTAAGGAATAACCTGAGCTTTTCTCAAGTTAAACAATTTCACTATTAAATAGTTAAACTTAGATTATTTTAAATTATCACTTCTGTCGGGCGTCCCGAGACGCACACGTGTTTTTATTATATTTATATATATCGTATATCGTTTATTTGATTTGATAAATTCCGTTGTAAGTTTACAAATAACGTATTCTCTGACTACTTTAGCTACCATTAAAAATTAATGAGTCGTTATTCTCCGTCCTTGGTAAAATAGTTAATTTAACTGGGAGTTCTTAACTTTATTTATGTTTATAAAAAATCGAATCAACAAACCTACTCAGTCTGTCATATGCAGTGAGACCATAAATATTATAATACTAATATTATGCTCCTCTGGCACGGCAGAACCCCGCCAAGTCGAGCAAAAACTATAATTTTAAAAAGAATGAGCAAGATAAGCTTAAAAAAACCCAAAAAGGGGTCGCAACTTTAATATTAGGATTTTGGATTGCGAGTCTTAAAACATGTTCTCAAGTTTACACTACACACAAAGCTAGTAGGCTAGCTAGCTTTGAGATACTTCTGTCTTATATTATATGACACATATTTGTATATATTGAAGATCAGAAACAAAGGCTGTATATTTTTTGTAACACACTTACATACAGATCTAGAAGTACTGTTTTGGTACTGTTTATGCATGTTACAACAAATGTGTTAAGAATATTTACGCTATATTTAAGATTGCCATCATAGTCCAGGCAGGCTCTAACTTATTTGTGGTCTCCCAGCGTAATGACAAAGAATAAATATTGTGATTTACCGCTTACCACGGCAGGTGGACCTAACGCATAGAGCCGACGTGTCAACGGTAATTCTGTCGTTGTATGCTCGTGTGTGTATGTGTTTTATACGATCTTTCAAAAGAATTTGTGGATATTTTTAATTGGTGCTTTTCTTTTAACAATACTTTACATGATACGCACAATAATAATAACTATTAAAGCAGTATAGAAACTCGGATATCATTCAATATGTAGTTACATCTCATTCTTTTGATTTTAATACTTCCTTTACAAATATAATTCGGTCATTAGTGCCAAACATCTCTAACTATTTCTTCTTCTAGATTCCAGAATTCGAACAGTAAGTTTTGTGAAATTTAACCTCTTTATAAAAATATCCACTAATTCATATTTTCTTTGTAAATAAATATTGACATGGCTCTGCACGGTTTTCGCCAAATTTCTTTTAAATGTAAATATTTCAATTTTGGTTTGTCTTTGTGATTTGATGTGTATATTAAAACTTGCACTTAATAATTTTAGGTGAATAGTGAATATATTTTCGTTTTATATGAAACACTTTTCTTTACTTTTTTTGGCATGTTTTGGCATTTTTCAATCGATTACACTGTATTAGCATTAATTTACAGAAAGGGTAATCCAATTTATTTGTTCTAATTGTTGAGGGTGTTTTTATATCTTATACAGCTTATGTATGCCAACTCTTAATATTATTTCCCCAATCATTCTTATAGTAGTATAATATGTATAAGGTAATTGGTTTATTAAGAGATAGTTGATTGGTTTTATTGCAACATGAACAAAGAAAATCAGTAGTAAAAGCCCTCAGTAAATAAAAATAACTGTTAATAATATTTCTTTTACGAACATTCCTAAGCTTTTCCTTCTTTTTGTCTAAACTTTTTACGCTATTAGCACTGGCAAGGCAAAGGCACACAGGGCAAATATAATGGGTAGTGCAACAGCCAAGTCTTTACATTGCTGGTTTATATTTGTGAACATGTTCAGTTAGGGCGCACCATCAGGCATTCTGAATACGCCATTCATTTTTACCAATGCGTAAGACAATGTAATCTGGTTGACACACGAATTCTGTCTACACTCTACAGGCCGAGGATATTTTCGAATATTTAATAAACAACAATTTCACATGCTATAGTTTTATAAACCTAAATTTAATTAAAATAAATGATTAAGACAGAATTCTTCAAAGTTGTGAAGTAGTAAATATTATATTTTCTTTTATTTTTTTTTGCAAGCTGTTGTGGCAAATCGGAGCGAAGGCGAAATGCGACACACTATACAATGGCTGATAACGGCTACCAACGCTTGTCTATGGTCGACTTATGATTATAGACGGGTTGTGCTTTATGGTAAACGAATCGCTCGAACTCATTAGAGTTTTTTCTTAAATATTTTTTAAATTTTCATCGCTCTTCGTCACTTTTAGCACTGGCACTTGAGCTGTCTTTCACACTGTTGCTGCTATTTTTATATAATTATATATATTTTGTCTAAATGTTATATGATAGTTTTTAATTAAAAGGAAAATAATTATTTTTCAGTGGTATAACTTTCCTTTGACTATTTCTGCGGTCCTTGCACTTGTTCAGAGCCATTGTATGTTGTGTCGTTTTATTATTATTTTATCCTGATAAAGTGGATACTTCGTTTGAATTCTAATCAATTATTTTTATTCTTATTAAATTATTAGTTTGTGTTTTTAGTGTTTAAAACTTATTTTTATTACAATCAAAACAGGTCGGAATAGATAGAATGATTTGGAGTGAATAAACTTGATCGGCATAAATCAAATATGGAAATGCTTTCGAGATTGCATCATTTCAAAATTACTAAGACATTAGTTTGATCCGGAATTTATATTGCAAAAATCTGTGATTTTGCAACACTAAGTCAGAGCAGCTTTTTGTATATCACCATCAATCATCACAGTCTATCATCATAGCCTTCAATAGTCTACTGCTTTACATAGGTCTCTCGGAGAGGAGAGACTCTCTCCTGGAAAAGGTTTTGGCTTACTATACCACGCTGGCCGCACGTGTTGGCATAGGGTTAGTGTCAAGTTTTCCATCTCTCTGCATTGCTGTTGTATTGTTTGCTTCTTTAGTCGGCTTTTACGACACCTACGGGATGAATAGAAGTGGTGATACTCTGTATATTTTCGTCATCACACGGGTTTTTGTGTATTAACATTCCTTACAACCACATTAGAACAGGGTATCTCAAATGAGACGTATGACTCATTTAATCTACAGAAATTATGCGATCTCATTTACCAGAAAATAAATAGATAGGTAAGTGTGCGGTATGTGGTTTAGTAGGCCAAAACCTCCTTTTTAAAGAGAGGCCTATGCCCAGCAGTGGACTATTGAAGGCTGTTGATGATAATTGATGATGAGTTGCGGTATCCTCAGTAAGAAAGTAACACCTCAGGGTGTACTTCTTTTGTCTATTTCATTTTGTCTAGAGCATTGATACCTGGCATCTTCCTGGCTCGCTGTTTCGGCTCTCTTGTTTTCGATTTTTTTTTAATTTAACGTTCAAAATCCAGGAAAAAATCCAGAGACAAAATACATGAAGGCTAGGTTTTTATGATATAATAATAATAATATTCAATATTACACGTATATTCTAAAAAAAATGGAAAACTTTTTTGTTATCTTAAATATACTGGAAGCTTGGAGGCACGTCCATATTGTCATAAAGATTTCAGTTTATTCACTAAAAATAGTTCTACTTATATTGACCTATATCAACGACACTGTATTTCACCAGAATAAGCATGCAGTAGTTTGCATTAGTTGTATGATAGTGTGTAATATATAATACAATAGTGTAACATAAAGTATGTATAGTTGTGGCATGTGGCGTTAGCATGCTCCCCGCAACCGTAGCCGGTGGGGTCGCCGCCTACGGACCTAAAGTTCTACGCGTTCAGAACCCGGTCACTATCTTACGATGACTATTCTTGGATCCCACACATGCGATTTATGTTCACGTTTTATGTGTAGTTTAGTATTATATGTTGATCATTACACTCGAACAGTAGACAGGATTGCGGTACGATCGAACTATAGTTGTTGTAAATAGCCGACCGACAATCGAAAGCACGACGGGTCCCGCGGCGGGTCGGCCCCTCGCACTCGTCGCGGGCCCCGCCGGCCGTTCTGAGCGCACACAGGCAGAGGGCGGCGGCGCCGATCGCGCGATCGCACGTGCAAACGCTTCGCCCCGCAGCTCCCTTCTCCTTCTGTCCGTAGGCCGTACGATAACGATAGCGAGGGCTCGGACGAGCTCGCGCGATTAAACCCCTGACGTGAGCGCCGCGCCTGACAGGTCCAATCCGGGCACGCCGACGCAGCCGCGGCGGCCGGACTTCATCGGCGTGGGCGGGCGCAGCTCGCCGCAGCGCCGCTTCCTGTCCGAGGGCGAGCTGCTGCGGCCCGACCCGCCTGCGCCGCACCGCCCCACCGCCGACGACATCCGCGAGCTGGCCGCGTCGCCGCAGCGCGGCAACTACCTGTGGGCCGAGCGGCCGGCGCACGCGCCGCACCACGCGGGTGCGCACGCGCCGCACGTGCCGCGCGGGGGCGTGGCGGTGTTCCCGCCGGGCGCGGTGGGCGCGGCGTCCCCGCTGGCGCGGCGGCGGGCGGGCGCGGCGCCGGCGCGGCCGCTGTCGTTCGTGCGCGCGCTCGAGGTGCAGGACGCGCTGGAGACGCGCGCGCCGCCGCCCGACCCGCCCGACCGCGCCTCCGTCTACGACTGTAACTACGAGATCTCCGTCTGAGCGGATCGGACCCACGACGCACTTTTATATCTATGTATATTTGTGAGTAATTTGTAACGTTGACCGTATATTTAATGTGAGTCTGTCGAGCGAGAGAGAGTGTACATAGTCCCCCCAGTGTTGTGATTCTGAGATGACATAATAATTATATAGAGGTATATAAAAGAGTAACTGTATCAGCACGCGAGTGTCTCAATTATTGTGTAAAAAATATATTTATAAAAATTGTTTTTCAAGGAACTGTTGTACGTTTTTCCTTTAGGTTTAATCGATTGTGTGGAAAGTCAGGAGGTTACGGAATTGACTGATTCGTTTATCTGCCTCAATTTTTTTTAGTTGAAACTTTCTGCGAGCGCAGTGAGGTTTGATGAAGGTTGTCGTGCGTTTTTGACTTAGCATTTATAACATAAACAGAAATAACTCATGATGAAGGTCAAACACAGTTTCACTCGTTACCACCATTTTAAAGTTATATAACGAGAGTCCTCAAAGTAATCACATAAAAAAAAATAACAGATAACACGGTTCAATATACGTCGGCTAAAATAAAAAATTGGTATGATAATAAGGAAATGCATATTTCGAACAAAATAAATACAAAGTGCCAATCCAAAAGACTGTAACTCGACTTACAGTGTTTTGTCTTAACAACGCTCAATCAGTTTCTTTACGTCGGTTTAGTACCCCTGATCAACACTTTTGTTATTCTAAAGTGTTGGTCAAAAATCGTTTTCAAAAGTTACAGTATTTTGGATTGGCACGGCAGCATTGTTAACACGAGTTGCTAAACTGTAGACGAAAGACAGGCGACGGCGACATCAAAGCGACGCCGCCGCTGCGAAAAGCCGGCGAACTTTACATTTTTATTACCTACCTATTAATCACTTACTTCACTAGCTTTTTGCATAACACTCATCGATTCGCAGTGGCTAAGTGCTAAGTACTGTACTTACTGAATGAACTAATTAAAATCGCGTGTCCTTCATCCTGATGACGCAATAATCAACATATTTTATTCGAGTGTAGTAAAAGCGCCAACGTGTGATGTTACCGCGCCGCGTATACAGCTGATCGCCGCCTGAGGTCAATGTATTATGACTGCATTTACACATGATGTTGCGAATTACGAAAACAAAAAAGGTCATGTTTCTAAACCACTGAATATTTTTTGTTCAAATTTTGCAAATAGTCTAGAAATAACGTGCAGAATATGTGGTTTAAAGATTCGTCAAAAGAAAAACAACACGTTGTATAAGCTAAGTATTTTTTGACACCTATATTATTTTACAAATAATGAAAAACATAATTGTACGGTAAAAAACGCACGACATATGAAGAAATGTGCCAAATATTTTGTAGTCACAGGTAGCTTACAGCACGCGTCTAAGATTTGTTGTTTTAAAATCATTTGTATATTGTTTAAAATTATATTTTACCATTCATTTAATTACGTCCGACCGCAGCGGTTATAATACATAACTATTCTTTCAAATTGACAAGTTATGACATATTTTTGACATTGAAATTGATGACAAGCGCTTATCAAAGTATCGAAAGCATGAGTAGCGCAATTCTAATTTTTAACTTGTCCCTGTTTAATTCTCTCTTAATTCTTGCAATCCAGAGATAAAAAATATTTTCTGTTATATGATTAGCATGGATATGTTAATATGAAGGGTAACAGTAGCTGATATGAATTAAGATGGTGATAAAATCTAAAAATATAAAACATATAAATAATTCGGATAATTTTGAAAGTATTCACGATCTCAAGCAGGCAATGTTTTAGGTTGTCTTTCTACATTGTTTAATTTGCGCCGAATATTTTAATAGCACGTCTATTTTTGGCCTTTTTTTATTTACATATATTTTTTAATTCAAAACTGTTGTAATAACACGCACATCTAAGCCCGTATAATTGTAAAAAAGAACTTGAAATACTATCAATTCTACACTCAATAGCTAGTATTTATAATACAAATATAATGCTATTCCTTTAAATAATATTTTGCTCAGGTAACCCATTTGTCTAAGTATCTCCAATCCATATAGCTCACTGCAATTGACAATGTATGGTAATTCTAATTGAAATTATAGAATTAAGAATGCTACAAACCTTGGTTTATGTCTAAGCTTAGGTATATATGTTAAATCAAGTTCACCATTTTGTTTTGAAATTAACGGATCTCAAATATCCGAATTCATATTTATTGCCTGTAACAACTGTACTTATAAATATTTGTAATTGTAATAAATAACTTATAAAAAAAATCACGACGCACTGACTGATGTGAGTCAGTTGAGATTAAAGTATGTACATAAATAAATTTATCTATAAATATCGAGAAGTATATGAGACGTATCATATGATACGCGTTTTGTTATTGCAAACCATGGACATATATAAAGTCGGACGGAACTCCCGCTAAGACAAAACTGAGGCACCGTAATGGCGGCAGCGGTAATGTGTGAATGAATTTGGGGCTGCCAAGTTACCCAAATTTATGTCCTAAAAACACTAAAAATAAATAAAAATATTTTATTTGTTCGAAATTTTACTGTTTCCACTGTTTAATATCCCAAGTGCTAAGTTTTTTTTTTAATAATCTTTTAATTTTTTCAATAATCTTAAACTTTGAAAGGTTTTTGATATTTCCTCTAATTTCGAGATGTGGCGAAACCGAATCGTTAAATATTTTTGCGCTATAAATTTAATACGACTTATTTTGTGTTGTGTTGTTAAAAAACCGGACAAGTGCGAATCGGATTCGCCCACCGAGGGTTCCGTACACATTTGTAATAGAAAACATCACAAAAATAATTAAAAATCTGTTTAAGCTTATGCCAATGAAGCCCTTTCATACGATACCCCACATGTTACGGTTAACTCCATTCAAAATTTGGACCGTCGTTCCTTGCATAAAAACCCTGTTTTTTTATGATTTATTTACAAATGTATAGTTTTCAGAGTTTTCCCTATGTGTTAGGTCAACGGAAAATACCCTATAAATTTTGCTTCCCTTCAGTGTCGAAATATACTTTTTTTAATTTAGAAGTTTGATTTTTTCACAGCTTCAAGAGACTGTAGACCTGAGTATATCGTTTTAATTTCAACTCGAAACGCGTTTCCGAGAGGTCTTGACAGGCAGACGGACGGACGGAAAACAAAGAAATTTTTTTGTTTTGAGGTACGGAACCCTAAAAATGAATTCATTGCCAACAAACTCTTGTGAGAATATATTTGTGGTGTCTCTCATTTTCACCATTACAATTTCTAATTTTATGAATCCAATAATTTCCGTAGAAAATCTAGTAAATAGAATATGAAATAAAATACCTAGTAGTACCCATTAAATCATCATCATCATCATCATCAGCCTATCGCAGTCCACTGCTGGACATAGGCCTCTCCCATTGCACGCCACTTAGATCGATTTTGGGCTTCTCGCATCCAGCTCCTGCCAACCATCTTGCGCAGATCGTCACTCCACCTGGCCTGTGGGCGTCCTACACTACGTTTGCCGAGACGCGGTCTCCACTCAAGAACTCGTTTTCCCCAACGGTTATCGGTTCTGCGGCTAATATGGCCAGCCCACTGCCACTTCAACTTGCTGATCCGGTACGCTATGTCGGTGACCTTAGTTCTCTGCCGGATCACCTCATTTCTGATGCGATCCCTTAGAGAAACGCCGAGCATAGCCCTTTCCATAGCACGTTGAGCGACTTTGAACTTGTGGACCAGCCGTACCGTAAGTGTCCACATTAAATAAATAACCCTTATAAATTTATTTCAATAATAAACCAAAAATTTCCTATATTTCGGGTAATTGGCACACATGAAAATTGGCAACACTGATTATAATGAATTCTTCTGTTCTAGCATTTGCACATTGATTTTAATGTATAAGTGTAAGAAACGTGATTCCTGGATTATTTTTCTGTACGAAACGTGATTCCTGGATTATTTTTCTTTCGGTTACTACGGTTTTCATAGCATTTCACCACGCGAAACATGTTGTATATTTATATTTTTTCGCCGCGTATCTCGATGTTTGCGCGCGTATTGGCTGACCAATGTGTATATGTGTGCGTACCGGCCTGTACGCACACCAAGCGGGCCGACTATGTTGCGAGAATATGTCCGACATTTTTATACGTCCATGTTGCAAACGCTACCTTTAAAACAAAACGTTTAAATGTGATGCGTTTTAAATGTATAGAGATGATTTCAATAACTGTCTTTTTATTTTTAAGGTTTACGTATGTAAATATTTATGTAAAAGAAAACTAAGGACAATTTTGTATAGAATTTATGTAATAGTATTTGTTGTGAATGTTACTATTGCGTATTAAAAACCACAAAATGTTTCGTTTTCGGTGCCAGTAAATACAAATATTTTACATACAAACATATCAGCAGCGTATTTTTATTTGAGCGTAGCGAAGGTTTTGTTGATCGGACAACTTGAAGGTGTTTTACAAATGTGTTCATTCATTCATTAACCTTTCATCTTTGCACATTCCGTTCTCTCATTATAATTTTATTGTAGTTATGAAGCAGCACATTCGACTTGATTGTGAGTACTTAATTTCACGTTGAGTGGTATTTATACAGTATTGAAATGACAATGCACATGATCACAGTAAGGTTGTTGATGGATCCTGACTTAATGTGTCCACGAATTAATGTCCATACATATTTTTAGAGTGACTACATGTTATACTTAGATGTAATTGATTGAAAAACGATTGCATGATATTACGGCGTAAAGGCATGTTTTTATTCAATATTTTTTTCGTTTAATGCAATTTATATTCATATTTGTGTGTAACGAATGTTTTAGAAGACTCAATTTTTCTGTTCTGGATGTGCCACCCTTGTATTTTGTTTCTATTTTATATTTAATCTGTAGTAGGTCAAAACCTCCTTCCTAAGGAGAGACCTATGTCGAGGAGTGGACTTTAAAGGCTGTTGATGATGAAGTAGTGACAATGTCGTGTAATGACTATTACCACATTTTTTGACAAATATTAATTATTGCGAGTGTTACCTTTGTCAGAAATGTTATAATTTTTAGGTCCGTCGGTATAAGTATTTAGAGTAAAGTTTTGGGTAAATTACCAGTAAATTACCAATGGGTTACATCGACTACTACGTAATATTGAATGTAATTAACCTACCTATGACGCCAGCTCTGTGTATTATTTTCTCTGTGTACCCTCGCAATTATCGTAAAGACATCGCCTGTACTCCTAAATATCATGTCATTAAAGTGTACAAGTGTACAAAAGATTGATCTTCTTTTTACATTTCCTTACATTCGAAAGTGTTATTGAGGATAATAAATAGCTCTAAAATTTAGCTGCGCAGCAACAATACCTAAGACTAATGTGTAATTATAATAGTACCTCCACAAAAGTTATTACCTATATGTATGTGACAGTGTTTTATTTTTGTATTTTGATAAAATTTGTGTAAATAATTTTCTTATTTTATTGATATTAAACTCAATTAATCAAGTCATTCTTTTTATTGTGTATTCCGCATGCGTATGTGTTCCAGCAATGATTTGTAACAAACCAATTCTACATTTGTAAAACATGCATGCAGTGATAATGTACACCCAATTTGGTAATAAATCTACATCTTTCTATTTTGTTATGAATATATTGTTGAAAGCTTTTTGAAATTAACTGGTTTTACTTAATGCAAATGAAATCGTTACTTGAAACGATCTTGGAGGGTACTTACAAAAAAAACTTTTTACGTAAAAAAAAACAATCTTCGTTTACACGACACCTCGTTTGTCATAATCGGGATACCATTTGTATCTGTAAATGGTGATGCCACAAGTGCAGACCTTTATTTCCGAGCGATAATCCCTTCGGATACCACCCACCGGTACTGACCTGAGCCGAGGACTGACACTGGCATGGCCACCATCGTGGATTTTAATTTTTAATATAAAAAATTTGAAAACAAAAATTTTGTCGCTAATTTGTCGCCAAATATCAGATTTTGTCTGTCACTGGTTCCAAGTTATAAGCGTTTATAGGGGGCGCTGCTGGGTCAGTCTCCCCTGCAGGGCCAAGCTTGGTGTCAAAAACTAAGGCACCTAGCGAAGATCTGTTTTCTCCCAAATTTAGTTGCTAATTAGTCGAAATTTTTCGCCAAATATAAGAATTTGTCGGGTCTTAGTTTAGGAGATATAATGGCTCAATTTTTAAGGTAAGCATAGTCTAAGAGCTGCATCGCAGAGCTTACGAAAAATTATATTATTATGCAGTTTTAAGTCCTTACAAATGTCAGAAAGCGAAAAATTCTTAATTTAATACATTTTTTTTTAATTACCACGTTAAAGTATATAAATTTATTTATTACATAAAAGAATTTTGGAAGCAACAAAATATACAAACCAAAACTATAAATTATAATGTTAAGCTCTAATTTACGTTATAATTTAATATTATAACGTAAACTTATGTGGCCGAAATAAGAATATATGTACGTTAAAATTATTATTATTATTATTTACTTCTAGTAAATTGTTTAAAGTGCTTAATGCAGGTATTGTAAGTATATAAGTATCAATCTATTACTTGAAATATACTACAATACGTTACAAAAAAAAATAACCTACCCTTACCTAATCTTAAATCAGAGATAAAAGTCTTGAATACCTAATAATATAATTTGGCTTTTACTAAGGTAAGAATTATAAAATTTCTGGTTTGAAATATAAAATGATTTATTACTTTAAAATTATTGTACTTATAGTAAAATGTCAAAAATACCTACTTAATGAAAGGTAATGAACAAAATTGCATTAATGTTTTTTCATTGGACAAGCCTGCCCGAACGAAACCGATGCCGATCAATACCCACTCGACGACACGTCACCGATAGTTACATTCTTCATTTCGTCAGCGACACGACTGCGACCCGATGCGACGCCACGAATATAATATTAAATAAAAAATAGAATAAAAATATAAAGTTATTTTATAATTGGAACCCACCAAAAGGAAGCTGTATTCATTAACTATAAACAGATCTACAATAATTAAAATTATATAAAGAGTAAAATGTGAACTTAGCACCTGGCAGATAGACTGCTGCGCTCCCTTATATTTGAGGTAAGTAAAAAAGAGATAGATGCGCGTACCTGTGACGTAAGATAAAGTCAGCCACATTTAACAGTGGAACATATTATGAATACTTAGTACTAGGAACTCAAGTAATAACGGTTTTGTTTTTAATGTGTGCGTTTTATTTATTTTTTCTTAAAAATACATCTGTATAAAGACAACACAAACAGAAAAAGTCTGAGTCCTTAGTTCTGAAATTTGGCGACTGGTTTCGACAAATTAGAGACTAAATTTGGGAGAAAACAGATCTTCCCTAGGTGCCCTAGTTTTTGACATACAAGCGAGGCCCTGCTGGGGAGACTTATAACTTTGAACCAGTGACCGACAAATTCTATTTGGCGACAAATTAGCGATTAAATTTTTGTGTTATCGAAATTAAATTCCAGGATGGTGGCTATGCCAGGGTCAGTGACACATATGCGCGTGCGCTGCAAAAACTATTGATAGTACATAAAAAATCGATATATTTCGAATGAACTCGTCAATGCGCACAAAAAAGGTATAAGATAGGGATATCTATAAATTATAGTTTAGCTATTTATTTTTTTTTTGTTGAAATCAGTCAACTAAAATATGGATCAAACCAAAAAGTGATTCTATCAGTATCATGATATCAATCCTTATTTAAATAAACCAAAGAGTAATTTAGGCTGTTTATTAAGGTGCCAATTACTTTCTGAATTGTTCAAATCGGTCAATTCGTTTAGAAGTAGTGATGATTAATAACAAAGCAAAACTTGTGGTAATATTGCAAACCACTTCGGTATAATGCAATTACGAGTATCTTTAAATAGCGAATAGATCTTTCAAACTACGCAACGGACTTAATTCGGTTTTCATCAATGAGTGTGATTCAAGAGGAATGAAGGGATATGTATATTGCATGCATATTATAGTAGAGAAAAGCTAAGAATTTCCAAGATTTTATTACAATTACGATTTATAATAAAATCAATGTACGAGTTTATTATAAATTTATATAGTCTCATTGCCTATTTATCTAATGAAGTTCATTAGATACTTTGTTCATTGAATATGAATCAAAACCGCCTTTTACAGCATATTAAAAATATCTCAGAAGATATCAGAGCAGCCGTACGTCCTGGGTGCCGGCGGTTGGTGAGCGCTGTGTTTGCCAGACCTTTAAGTCCAAAGAAAACAAGTTTGTATTGTCTTATGAGCTGTAATATAAAGATATTCTGTAGTATAAAAATATTTTTGATAATTTGACACTGACAGTACATTAGTATCTATATTGCGGGCCGCTAGTCACTCGCTAGTATAAAATAATCATACAATACCCGATGTATGTAATTGTTTTAACGAGTTTAAATTTGAACTAAAGATATTTCCCAATATTTTTTATATTTCGGGTATGTATTAAATACTTACTACATTTACATCTTCGAGGCTTCTTTTCATCTTACCAACTGCTTTTCAAAAACCGTTACTGTTTTAAGGAAATTATTATATTAAAAAATGTTAGAGTACGTTTAATTTAATCTGTAAAAAATTTGAGTGTTGCCGAAAGACTTAATGCTAACTAAATAAAACTGTCACTGTCAAATGAAAATATTTTTCGCTTTAGCAACACTGTTTCTTTTTCTGTCGACGGGTAAACGGAATGTGAGTGTCGCGATCTTTTAGAAAAATATCTATATAAATCTGTGATATAATGAAACCTATTATGCGAAAATCTGGCTATATATTTAAAGTTCCACACGCTCGATGTCCTAGTGTTAATATTTTTTGATATTAATAAAATAAACTTAATGAAAATCGTCAACTAAAGTTCGTGTTGTTCACACAGTTCAGTGATAATCAACTTATTTATTCACATTTCTTTAAAGAAACCCAATCGTCAGTTCTCAGACAAGGAGAGCTAACACGTATTAGCAGTGGTGTTAGACGTTTTGGTCGTAGAGAAAATCTAAAAACATTGTTTTGAAGGTTAGTTTTTGTTGTTTTCAGATACACCCAAAATGGGTAAGATTATGAAGCCAGGTAAAGTGGTACTGGTCCTCAGTGGCCGGTACGCGGGCCGCAAGGCGATCGTCGTCAAAAACTACGACGAGGGCACATCGGAAAAGCCGTACGGACACGCTTTCGTCGCCGGCATCGACAGATATCCCCGCAAAGTCCATAAGAGAATGGGCAAAAACAAAATCCACAAGCGCTCCAAAGTCAAACCCTTCGTCAAGGTGAGGTTTACAAAGAACTTATTTTGTTTATTATCCTACGTAAGACAAGACATACTTTAAAAGTAACGACAAGTGTAGAATAAATAATAGAAATCATACGGTATACCGTCAGCACCTAACCTCAATCTGTTTTTTTTTATTTATTAAAATACATATATAGTTCACAGATTACTGTCTAATGGCTATATGCCATATTTGTGGCTACTTCTGTGTGTAATAAACTCATTCTTTATTTCTCAAAATTTTCAAAATTATTTGTAATCGTCTTTTGTGTAGAGTCTAAAGTCATAGATCAACACACACAATAGCAACAATCTCTGTCTGTCAAATATTAAGCTAACTGAATATACACATATCAAAATAAAAGACGCATGCTTTATACACAACATCCTGTCCTTTGTTATAGTGTTGATATAATTTCCAGTTTTTGAGCTACACTACAGTTGTGCTGTATTCAAGACAATTCATTGTTTGAATGAACAGAATCATTGGCTCTGTGTCTGGGTTTTATTTATATTTCAAAAGTATATGTATATCATAATGTATAAGTATGTTCTACATGTTATGCACAACCTTCTTTGAAATTCCTGCAAATGCTACTACACCAGTTATGTGAGTTTTATCACCACAAGGGATAATTAAAAATGTGTTATTATGTGTATTCATTCGTCAATGTTAGATCAGTAGGTAGGTTGGGATTTTGGATGTAACAAATGTCAGGTCCAAGGCAATGTTGATTATGTTAATTTAGTTTGATAGTAAGAAAGCAGATCTAAATTTCCAAGAAATGTTCTGAATGTAATTAGGATTTTTTAATAATGTGTTTGGCTCTCCAGAGTTACTTAAACAATGGGCGAATGATATTTCTATTATAGAAAACACATATATAGCAGTAGTAAATGAATTTTGTAATATTAGCAGGATTCTATAGGATACAAACTATCGTAGATGTCTTTTTGGCCTATACCAATAATAATGCTGAAATTAAAGCATATTTTTTGTAACCTACATTGTTATACTTGCATGTGCGTAAACAAACTACCTTACAATATAGCATTGCTTTACGTCTATTGTATAACTTCATCATCATCATCATCAACAGCTTTTAATGGTCCACTGCTGGATATAAGCCTCTCCTTAGAAAGGAGGTTTTGGCCTTCTATACCACACTGGCCAGACGGGTTGGTATAGGGTTTGTGTCAAGTTTTCCTTCTCTCTGCAGTGTTGTTGTTCTGCGTAGTTTTTTCCCTTAGTTGACTCTTACAACACCCACGGGATGAATAGGGGTGGTGACAATCTGTATTCTTAATCCGTCACCACACGGTATAACTTACCACCCAGTAAAGAAATAATGTTGGCAAATAACCATCTGCTACCTATGCTATGTCAAGACGGAAGCTATCACATAATGTATGTGTAAGTTGCTAATTAAAAACAGGAATATTGTTGCATCTGCAACGGGCAACAATGAGATGGCTGGCAGGAGCTGGATGCGAGAAGCCCATAATCGATAATGGGAGAGGCCTATGTCCAGCAGTGGACTGCCATAGGCTGATGATGATGATGAACAGAAATATTTACAGGGTTACGTGTTATGATATGTATTAGGTCACCTCATGATTCAACCAAACAGAATGGATTGCACTTTCGCTACTCTAAATATGTAGAACCTAGTATATTTCTTTAAAACATCTTTGCATTATAAGATTTCCTTGATCTTCAATAACTCGTCATATTAAATATCTCAAACTTTGGTAGCTTCTTTGAATATTAAGATGTGTACACCCTTCATAGTTCAGCCAGTTAGTAGGCTTCTTGTTGTAATATTTATTAGTTAACCGTATGAAGTATTTGTGAGGTCAAGTACAAAATTTGGATAACATGGTAGTACCACCATATTGAACCATTAATTCTTTAGACAAGCTATATCTTTTTATTTTTATGTGCCACTCATAAGACTGGTGGTAACTAATATTTTGTTCAGCCTAAATGTTGTCAATTATGTGACTGCTCTGCTCGGCTCTGCGTTAGCTAGTCCAGGCTGCATAACTTCACTTGTCTAGTGAGCCACAAGCTGATATGGAGCCGCTTCCTACTGCGCCAAATGTTGTAGGTTCAAACCCCACATTTGACGACACTTTGTGTAATGCACAAATTGTTGTTGTCTGGGTGTTTTTTGTGTCCCTTTCATGTATGTTTGTAAAGTCCCTTGCGACACAGGATTTATTCCTAGTGCAGGAGTTGTCTTTTTTAAGAACAGACCAACTTTTTTTGAACCTGTACTGTAATAGCCATAGTACCAGACATCTAGTGATCGAAATTCAATACATCTCATCTATTTTATATAAATGTAAACAATAATAGGTAGAGAATAGTGTTATTATTAATGCCTATGTACATGGCCAACATAAAAAGAAACTACATTATGAAATCAAAGTCACCTGTACTTTAATTCCACTATTTAATTTGACCTGACTGGTTATGCCTTATGGCATTATAAGATTACTGTTTTCAAAATTTAAGTCTAACACATACTTGTGGTTAAACAGCAGTATGTCAGTGTAACAAATTTACCCTGAAAATGGCGAAATTTTAGTACCTCAAATTATATACATGTCCATTCAAACTTAAATTAAAATTTTCTCATTATAATATTCATTTCTGCTTACCCACATGTGTGTTAGACTTTGTTTTGAAGTTTTGAAAACAGTATCTAACCTTTGATAATGCCAAAAGGCGAAACTGGTCAGACCAAATTAAATTAAATAGTGGAATGTAAGTTTAAGTGAGTTTGATTTCATAGTGTTTTGCATTGATATAATACTTACATAGATGAGTAATTACCGCCTAAAATCGTTGCTACTGCACATATGTCCACAGGCATATGCGTAGCAAACGTCAATTCATTATACAATGTGGCGTCAACCGAGTTGAACATAGCGACACATGACAGTAACAATCGCCAAAATGGCTAAATGCGTAGTGAAAGAATGCGATTCAAGGTCACAAAACATTAATAAATCATGCGGAATTACTTTTCACGTGTAAGTTTATGGTTTTTGTATTGATAATATCGTAAATAAGGCTATAATTGAAATAAAACACTGATAATTGTAATTTAGAATCAGTGTTACCATTAAAAAATCATTTTGGTTTTCCCACATTAGTGGGAGAATTTATAATTTATGAAATAATATGCTTTATACTGTTTTTAAACATTTTGCCAATAATAATAAAATATAGGAAGAACGGTAGTTGTTAGGGCTGGACCGATCCCTTTTTTTAGGGACCCGTTGAACGTTCACTGCGAGCTTGGCAGAAGTGCCAAGCTCGCAGTGCGCTGGAGACTTTTGTACAAAAAAATTAATTCATTGTTTTTCTTAATTTATTATCAATTTTAAATAATAATTGTACAAAATAATAATAATAATAAATGTTTATCATGAAAATAAAAATATAAAAGTAAATAAACATAAATAATTTTTTTTATAAAATAAAAATATTTTTTTTTTTTTTTTTTTATTTGTTTTTCAAATTATAATAGAATTTGCAATACACCCTGGGGATTATTAATTATCAGTACAAGTTGATCATTCACTTTTATTATTAAATGCTATTATTTTTACATACGTAAAAATAAGATTGTATCATGAAAGTAAAATATCCACACAAACTTATAAAAAAGAGTCTAAAAGACAATTGTATACAAAACTGATGCTTCACAGCGCAGTTTGATTTTACACTGAATATAAACCCTTTTAACCAAATATTTCCAGTTATTTTAGTATTTATACCTATTCTATTCAATTCGAAATATATTATTTAGAATATTTAAATTAATTTATTTTATTACAAAATTGTTTTAAAAAAAAATTGTTTCTTAGTTGTTAAGGGTAAAATTTCATACGGTAGTCAACACTGGCCCACCATCGTAAAGTTATATCTTTGTCTTTGTCTAATCCGAGCGATGGTATTGTTCTTGTCTCGCGTGTAAATGAGACATAAATATGTTTACTTTCAAATGTTTCGTGGTATCAAAGCTACGTCGTCAAAGTTCAAAAGTGGTTACACTTTTTTCGACGTGTGATAATGAGGTTTGCTTCTCTAGTGTTGTTTTAACTCAATGGTGTTTTGCAAACAAGTTCTGACAATCGAGAGTATAAAGTAAACTGGCCACTAAATAGCATCTTTGATCATTCTTGTTCAGTGAATAAATAAGGTAGAAATTTATTCCGTGATATATTTATTCAAAAATATTAACATAGTACCAATGTTTTTTTTTGCATTAACATTTCGAGTATTATAGATCCATTTTGTTAATTTTAATAAATATACAAGTGTTCCCCTCACCTACCAGTAATCATTTAGTTACATAAATGTGTTCTTTTGTTTCAGGTAGTGAATTACAATCATTTAATGCCAACTCGTTACTCAGTAGACTTCAGTTTCGAAAAGTTCAGTGCTAAGGACCTGAAAGACCCCGCGAAACGCAAGAAACTCCGTTTCAACACAAGAGTGCGTTTCGAGGAGAGATACAAGAGCGGCAAGAACAAATGGTTCTTCCAGAAGCTTAGGTTCTAAGTTATTTTAAAAATAAACATTACGCAAGTAATATATCTGTTGTTTCTTTTGTTTTAAAGCCTATAACGTCCCCGAAGGGGTAGATAATTACGTTTTGATCGTCTACATTTAGCCATATACCATTTACATAGGGGCAAGTCTATTGCTGTGAGATGGTCATTTAACATTACCTTGCCAAAAGGGTTTTTTTAGTATACTATATGATCTAAGGAGCAAGCTATCAGACGGGTCACTGACTGGGGACTGGGCAACAGCCCATGGACAACCGCTATTCTAAAGACAAGTAAGTTGCCACGTGTGACTGACCCTGGCATAGCCACCATTTAGGATATTTAAATTTTGTACCTAACGAAAAATTTGTCGGTCACATGTTTAAAAGTTTATAGTGGACCCTGCTGGAGTCAATCTAATCAGCAATGCCACGCTTAATGTCCTGTCACGCTTCGCTGTGACACACTGTTTACCTACAAAGAATAGATGAAGACTAGACGCACGCTAATTCGTGTACGTCTCTCGAAAATAATAAGCTTGCCCCGTTTTTGCAACATCTTTCATTGGGTCTCTGCTCCTATAGTTCGTAGACTAAAAAAAACATTTTGAAGTGGACCGAATTGTGAATCGAAACCATTCTCGAATCCACTTGAACACAGACAAAAAAAAACATAAATATCGATTCAGTCGTTTAGGAGTTCACATACAGACACACGAAAATTTATTTATCTTTGATGGGAGCACATTCTTTTAGTAATACACGTTTAAATAAATTATATCTGTTGTGAGAAATGTTGACCTCTGAGCAAATAGCGTTATATTGACTGCAAATTTGGGAGGTTGGATTGTTTTGTGATACATTATTGTTGCTACTAGGTACTGAGAACAGCTGTGGTATACGTATCTTAAAGTATAGCAAGCCAACAAGCTCACTATCAAATGAGCCATTTACTATTGTATGTAGGGTGCATATCTCAGTTAGCCACCTTCTCTTCTCTAAGCGCATCATTTTAAACCTACGAAGTCGGCTGTCGTAATCTGGTATTTTTCGCCTCAAGCCAAATTTAGAGGACGAGTGCCCAATAAAACGCCTCTGGACCGCCTCTACTCGATCAATATGGGTCTGATAGATGAAAGCCCATACTGATGAGCAGGTCTCTACTAAGCTTCTTACTAAAGAGTAGCATAGAGTTATTAAGGAACTAGCTTGTTTAAAAGGTTAGGCTAGCATTTCGACGCACAAGCGACAACATACGATTAGTCATATTGCAAATGAAGTCAGGCCCCTACGAACTTAGCTGAGCACTATTTTGTTAGAATAGACAAAAAAAGTATTTTAGTCAGTCATTACAAATGGATTTTAATAATTATTTTTTAAATTATGTTTAAAATATTGATTTTGGATTGGTAATTTGGCAGGAATCGGGCCCCCTATCTATCGAGGGGCCCTGGGCACATGCCCAGCGGAAAAGAGGGGCCTGAATGAAGTCGTTATGAGGTCTGTACGACATAGCAGAGTCAAAGATCACCCCTAAGTCGCGCACTTCCTTGATTCTTTCTATGGAATCTCTCCTTTGATCTGGTAACAGCGATCCGGTAATCAAGTGACTTTTTATTTTTGGTAAAGGTTATAACTTGATACTTTTTGATATTCAGCGACATAGAGTTCTCCGAACACCAATCAACAGTTGTGTTAAGTCTGATTGGAGACTTTCGCAATCACGATTATCAGTTGTTTTTGATTGAATTTCTCACAGAGGGCTATGCTGTCTCCTCTTAAATCGAATTTAAACCCATGAAACTTGCCAATGCTGCCAGCTTTCTGAGAAAGCCACCAATTACGAATTTCATAAAACCAATAATAAAGTTTATTAAAATCTGTTTGAGTAGTTACAATATATTGATCGGGCTTCATTTAGTTAGTAACAGTCTCAACAGATAGCGACTGGTGCTTAAAAAATGGAAGCCCTGTATTAAAAGCACCAGTTCACTCATGCATGTTAATAGTCCATAATATTATGTGTAATCATTATCGTCATCAGCATCATCAGCCTATCGCAGTCCACTGCTGGACATAGGCCTCTCCCATTGCACGTCACCTCGATCGATTTTGGGCTCCTCGCATCCAGCTCCTGCCAGCCATCTTGCGCAAATCGTCACTCCACCTGGCCTATTATGTGTATATATAGCTACCTAAATAATTTTACTTAGTTATTTTATACTGGTTTTATCGTTGGTGTAAAAATTATGCAATTTTAATATTGTTTGACAAGATTCTTACAATTGATAATGATTAACGATTAACTGATTAAATTTGTTTTTTTATTGTTAGAGTGCGATACTTATTGGCATTTGCAGCTGTTCAACGGTCTGGTCTGACCATCTTCTTTAACTAGGGTCCATTCCCTTCTACCTTTCCAGTCACCAGCAACCACTCAAGATTTTCATCATTGCTGCTAGCAACATGTCCGAAATATATGATAATGCGTTCCCTCAAACTTGAAGACACACGCTGAACATTCTCTATTTTTAGTTGTTTCAGTATGGATACATTTGTGTGATGTGTCGTCCATGGTATACTTATCATACGGCGCCAACACCTCATTTCAAACGCATCATCGATAGCCAAGAGATCTATGATCGGCTCGATCCCTTGTCGTTACGTAGACATGTAGCTAAACCACGGTACTATTATAATACAGTACTCCAACTTCATACAAACGGACGAAACGCGAGCTATACCTACGCGCCTCGATCTCGGGGTGCGCTCGGGGCGCAGACAGTCACGGCTGTACCGCAGTGTCGAACGGACTGTGTGTTGTTTTTTTAACAATAACCGCGCGATTTTTTCTCTAAAAATCAGTTAATATGACGAGTAGGAAATATTGTGCTGTTTTTGGTTGTATGAATTCGTCAATAACGCATTCAGACATAAGTTTTTTTTATATTACCTGGAAACTCTGAAAGGTAAGACTATAAAATAATTTTACTTACTAGTAGGTAGGTACATAATGTGTGTCTTTTTAATGGATAAGTATTTCCTTTTATCTCACGAAAAAGAGGTATTTGGATTAATAAATAAAGCAAATAGAGTATCGGAAAGTTATTGAGACGAGTGAAATAGGTAGTGTATCAAAATGTATAGGGAGTGAATCAAAAAACAACACGCATTTTTATTGAACACTTCCTATTCAATATACGTATTTCATTTATTTATATAAAAATAATATTTACAATCACAAATCTAAATAGAAACAGAAAGTAGGCAAATATAATTAAAATGCTGGAGACGGGCAGCCCTAACGCATGTTTACGTACCGCGCGGCTGTAGGCATTTATTTCTATCATGCGGCCGAGTTACACTACTGTATTATAATTGTACCGTGGCTAAACTCTGCATACTCTATTGTATATTATAGAGAGGGCTCCGAGGAATTGTTCGAACTAATACCGGCCGCAACTTTCCATCGTTCCACACGGCAAAATTGTCATGCACATCGTTTTATAATTGGCACTCCACCACTGAGCTTTTTTAAGGCACTTTTTGTCTGTGAGATGTATTTTAGTTTTGTTTGTGATATTCCTGTCCCTCCATACTTGAGTCAGTTGAGTCATCGCTGTCTTCGATACCTATGCCAATCCGTCTACGTAGGTATTTGAGTTTCACAGCTGAAACTGGTCTACTGTCTCATACCTAATCTTGTAAATACATATATTATGTAGGTAATTAAACTTAGTTTATCCGTGAATTTTAATTCATGTAAATCATGACATGAACAGACAGAAAGTAAAACCCTGTGAAAATATTTAGTTAGATGATTTGCTTATCCATCTTTTATCCGCAAGGATAAAGTTGACCTACAGTCTTTATCGCTGCAGATAAGAACATGGAGAAAATATTATGTCACAATACTCAAATATTCTATTGAAGAAGCCAACAGAAGCAGTCGCAAAGTAAATTTATATTTATTTAAAATTAAAGTTATCAATATTTCATATCTTATCACTTCATCATTTACTTAAAATAATCTTTAAAAAACAAGTCGATAGTGTACGGGTGTTCGAAGTAAATATCTGTAAATGTGAGTATGGGAAGGACTGTAGTAGGTAATGAATAATGATGGATATTTTTACCTGTGTGTCAAATCAAAGGCATAGCCATGGTAAGGCAGGATGGGTGAAGTATGGTTCCTGTATATATAAAATTAACGAAATAAGTATTGAAACGCATGATACACGACCTGCTCGCCTAGATCTGTGCGGGACTGTGGCTGAAGTACCTACTCTAGATTATTTTTATTTTATTATATTAAACAATGGTTTTGTTTTGAAATGAATTATCGGCGTACCTACTCAAAGTGTAATTTAAACTATAAGATATTTATTGTCCTGTCCTTAGATCATGATTTAGTGGTAATAGACCTCCACCTTGGGAGTATACCCTTTCGATTACAAAAATAAGTTTGAAACTCGTTCCTCAGTTGGCGGAGATATGACGCAACAAATATACTTACAAAAAAAAATAGTCGAATTGAAAACCTCTTCTTTTGTATTATTAGAGTCTGTAAATAAATATAAACATAAACAATTAATCATAATTTTATTTAATAATAAACAAGTAAGCCGGCGTACCAAGGACTTGATCTAGGCTGATATTATGTTCTTATTCTGATGTCTAGATAACTCTAGCTTGTTAATGTAATGCAACTCGATGTGACCGTACAGCTGGTCCTGATTGTTAGTGTGTTGACGTAATTCATGGGTGATAGCCGTGTGCACCGCTCTGGCGAACGGAAACTCAGTTCATAACAAGATAAAGTACGTACTTACTTTCTATTGTCAAGTGATTGAGTTTCTAATTTATGATTTATTATTAACTTCTTCATTGAAGCCAGTTACTTGCTATCTTTTGTATTATTCTTTATCTATACTGTACAAAACTGTAGCTGATTTTATTTTCGGATAAATATTTTTTTTTATCTTAAAGCTTCTGTTTAAGGTTTCAAGTACTTAGTTTGGAACTTTGGATACAGATTGAGAGCGTGAGAAGGAAATAATGGGTTAGAAATTAGACGCCACTTATAATTTAATACAATACATACATATGTATACTCATGCCGAAATCTCCAGAAGAAGACAGAAGCATAATAAACGCCTCACGTAACCTGTTGAGTATCACGGCACTACACTGGCACTACAAGAAGTAAAAAAGATTATTCTTTCTATTAAGTCCAAAGCAGAAGAAAGAACATCAGTCGTTAAATGGTTACTCCTATCCTCGATCGTCTTTTCCAAGTACTCTCATATTTAGGAAAGTAATTACTTGATTTTTCTCATATCCCCTTTCTAAAATGCCTAACTAAAAAAAATTAAACCAATAGATGTGGGCATGTTTCAAAGTATATTGTCAAAGCCTCTGTCGTTGTTAGTTTATAAATTCTTTGAACTGTACTCTAGCAGTATAATCATCAGCTGCAGCAGCATCATCCAGTAAAAATTTGATACAAAATAAATCAGATACAAAAATTGACTTCTTTTATTTATGAATTAATAGTAGGTAAATAAAGCATTTCGTATGACTATTGGTTAAAAAATGCGTTATGCTTTTTAAACGTTACATTCAGAGTATAAAATTTCCTACGATTTACCTCAGTAATTATATGCAAGGTTTTACCTTTAATTAATCTACCTTACCACCATTTTTTTATTGAACCCACTATATATATATATATATATAATTCTTACTTTACATACGCTTGTTGTTATGAAAATTTTGTGTGAAAATCGAATTTTAATTGGAAGTATCGCATTTTACAGATGACTTTACGCTGGGGTATTGTAACTGCTGGCAAGATCAGCAATGATTTCGTCAACGCCCTTAACTCTTACCCTGATAAAGGAGATCAGGAGATTGTGGCGGTTGCCGCTAGAGACAAGAACAGAGCATCGGAATTCGCAAAAACACATAATATTAAAAAAGTGTTCGACTCTTATCAAGAACTAGCACGCAGTAATGACATTGGTATGTATAAAGTCTTTTGTAAAGAGGTTTATTTTATCACTAAAGTCTTTATTCTCTCGTTGTGTCTATTGTCTTACAGGTAGGGATATTAAAATAATAAAATACGGTTGGACGGTTGGACGAGTGTGAATAACGTATGAGAGCCGTTGTTTCAGGTTTCAAAATGTTAATGAATCCCTGAGATTGATGAAACGACAACTAAAAATGTAATAATCCTCCTTTAAATACTATTTCTCAAAATTATACAAGTTAAGTATACAATTATACAATATAGTGGTAACTTCACTATTCACCGCACTATCAAATATTTTCTAACCTGAATGCATTTCTTGTCACAGATATAGCCTACATCGGAGCGCTAAATTCAGACCATTATGGACTTACGACGTTATTCCTGGAAAACGGCAAGCATGTTCTGTGTGAGAAACCTTTCTGCTTGAATTACAAACAAACCCAGAGCTTGATTAATCTTGCCAAAAAGAAGAAACTCTTTCTGATGGAAGCTTTGTGGGCACGTTTCGCACCTGCATATGTTGATTTGGAAAAAGATATCAAGTCTGGAAGGCTTGGTGAAGTCAAGTTCGTCGAGGCTAACTTTGGGATCAATGCTAAAGACGTGGCTCGATTAAAGTAAGTTGATATTTTTACATTATTTTTTAATCTGACAAGGTTATTTACTTACAATTAACAAGGTGTACCCGTGGGTACATCTTGTTAATTATTTGCACTATGACTATCATGTTGAGAGACAAGGCCAGAAGGTCAAAATTCAGTTCCGATCAACTCTACATCTCGCAACTGTCATAAAATGTATTGTACATGCAGATTACCGATTCAATATTCGAATCATAAGTAAGGGTCTATTCCTTTACGTTAAGATGGGGTAAGCGCAGTTGAACAAGCATGTGGGAGCTCTAACATAAGCTGGCTAATTTTATAATAAATTGGCTAATCACAAACGATAAATAAGTTTTTTAAAAGCATTAACAGAAGACCTGATAACTGTTCTGTCGTTTAATAAAAATTGTTTCAAAATTACGCTCATAGTTCTCGATAAAAAATGCTTACCTAATAAATTTATTTGCCACGCGTTCGCAAATTCTCAAATCTAAGACTGTTAGTTAACACGAAGTTTAGATTAATATTTACATACAGCGGCGCTGTTGAATGTTGAAGCATCAGTAGTCTTACAAAAAGTTTTTGAGTATGTCTTAATTCAAAATTATAAAAATATTAAATTAAAAATTTCAAAAACCCCCTACACACCTATTGGGTTTAAAAAAATCAAAATCAGTTCATCTCTTCGGGAGCTACGATGCCACAGACAGACACACACACACACACACCAAAAAAATTTTCTTTGTCATTTCTTTTTTAGTACAAAAGAGCAAGGAGGTGGAGCGCTGCTAGATCTAGGCATATATTTGCTTCACCTATCACAATTCGTGTTTAAAGAAGAGCCTATTAAAGTAACTGCAATCGGTACCCTGTTTGACTCCGGTGTGGATGAGTCAGAGACAATCATACTAGAATATAGCGGAGGCAGGAAAGCCGTACTCAACGCTAATAGTACACTACGACTTTGGAACAAGGCCACGATCTATGGAACGGAGGGGCGTGTTACGGTGAGACTTATTTCGATCTTCGAACTTCTTATTCGAACTTTTTATTTTTTACAATAGTTTTTAAATATATTACGAGTATATTCATTTACAAAGATGTATCGGTTCTATGGCGCAATAATTTTAACATTTTTTTAAGAGTACGTTCTAACTATCACCCCTTTGAGTATCTAATTCATCATCATCATCATCATCTCGGCCGAAAAGGGTCCGGTGGTGGACATAGGTCTTCCCCAAGGTTAGACACAACAACCTCCGACTTGTAATAATATCTGAAAAGATTTACTTACATTAATTGTCCCCCAAACCCGGGTTGATGGTTTGACTCGATGATGATGGGGGGTCGAGTCTCCGTATATGTTGTCTCATTTGAGTACTTATTTAAGGTTGACTTTGAGCCTGCTTATGAGGCCCATGGAGAGCTACCATGTCTCTTTACCATAAGTCATAACTGGCAACACACACTGGTCAAAGATAAAGAAATAGTAACTATCTATATCTATAAAAGAAGAAATTGACAGACTAATTCACAGACTGATCGATCAACGCACAGCTAAAACCGCTGGGTCTAGAAGTATGAAATTTTGCACAAATGTTCCTTAGGTGACGTGGGTGTGCACCAAGAAAGGATTTTCAAAAATGCCGCCCCTAAGGGTGCAAAATGGGGGTTGGCAATTTATATGAAACTTCCGTTTTTTTTGTATTAGCGTTTTCCAACTCACAGTAAATACTCTTTAGTTTGTATCTTTTTTCGTACATATACCTATAATCTTAATTCATTGTATCCTCTACGACGTCTGATGTCGACCACCACACGGACGAAGTCGCGGGCAAAAGCTAGTCATATATATATATATATATATATATATATGTGTGTATATGTATACTACAGTACCTATACGTCGCTTAGGTGCTTATTTGTCCTATCGACCATTGGGTGAATTTTACAGGACGAAGTTTTTTTTGCTTTATTAAAAAAGCCATAGTTTCAAAATTTGAAAGTCTTAAATTTCTCAATACATGAGTTACCAATGAATTGATTGTTTGTCTATTGTTTCATCTACTGATGGTAACTAAATACCCTATTTTACAATTTTTGTATGGAGATAGAACAAAGATGCACAAACGAAATTACAGTATCGTGTCACAAATAAAATTCAAATGGTTTTTTGTTGTTTTAAAAGCAAAAGCTTTTAAAACTTCCTTATCCAACAGGTGTGAAATTTAAGCCTTAACGAAACTGTATTTACAGTTCATTTTTGGTAAATTGGTTGATAGGACAAGTAAACACTGGGGCAACGTATAGTACCTACTTGTTGTGAGGTAATAAGTCGTAAAGTACCTAACACAAAAAGGCGCGAGTGGTTGAGTTTTCGACAAATTGCAGGATGGCCTTTCAAGGAGGCAATTACAAAAAGTATTTCTTTGTTTGTTTCAGTTAGAGGATCCGTTTCATTTTCCTTCCAAGGTAACACAGGTGGATGGAAGTGTAAAAGTATACAAATTGCACTCTTCAAATTTACCTTACGTTTTCGAGAACAGCGCTGGTTTGGTTTATGAAGCCCTTGAAGTAGAAAGGTGTATCAAAGCAGGTATATTTCAAAACTAGTTTCATTTCAAACTCGGAAATATTAAACATAGTTTTTGTAGTTTGACTTAGCGATTAGAAAAAAACATTTTAATATAGTCAACTTCATATTTTCTTATTCAAACGTTTCGATGTGTTAATACCATCAGCCTTTACAAAAACAGAGTACAAAGAGATGACTCCATAACTAATCCAGTAGTTCCTTTCTCTTGAGTTGTAAACTTGCAGACTTGAAGGCTCACCACTAAAATTTACCTAATAATAACAAAAATCGACTAAATACTAATTGAATTTCAAAAAGAGATATACCTTCACCAGGTATCTCTTTTCGATGGGATCTTAAAAATTATGTTTACTTGCAGGACTGCTTGAGTCACCTCAGTTCGCACACAAAGACACAATTATGATTTCTAAGCTCCTAGATACCATCCGTAAGCAACTAGGAGTGCACTTCGACGCTGATGATGAAGAATATCCCTAATTGATTTAATTTTGTATCCCGAATAAGGATTTACCTCCATCAGATGATAGAAATGTTTAAACCGTAAAAACATGAATAAAAAGTGTAATTAGTATCCTTGTGCTTCTAGTCCCCAGTACGTCACCTTATTTATTTGGAATATGTATTTGTTGCAAAACAAAACATTGTGTATCCGACATGTTTGCGTTGGTAGACAAGCTATTTGCTGCACGGATGGCGTAGTAGGCGGCGTGGCGACCGCTTCTTACTACAGCCAACACTCGGGCCATCTATGGGGTGTAGAAGGATCGCGCGGTTTCCGCAGTGTGTCTCGCCACCACCCCGGCCTGTTTCAGCTATGGTGACAAATGGCCTCACCTACCACCCCCAGGCCTGTGCTTATAGAGGACGGAGTGGCCACCGGCGCTTGAGTCGTCTGCGGTACCTGGCCCGTTGCCGGGCCTGGCGGGCCGGAAGAGTTCTAAACCTCTCCCGGTCCCGCTCTAATATCTCATTTGCAAGCATAACTTGCTCGCAGAAGGAGGCGGCGGAGTTCCACGAACTCTTGCTCCGTACCATGGCGGCAATCATATCCATATACTCCATGTAGTACAGTCCCTTGAAGCTGTGAAAAAATCAAACTTCTAAGTTAACGTAAAAAAAAGGCCCTTTATGCCACAAAAAAACGCATATTTTGACAGTCAAAGGAATCAAAATTTATAGGGTACCTCCCGTTGACCTAGAACTATGAACTCGACTGAACGGATGGCGTAGTGGTTTAAGCGGTCGCCACGCCGCTTCCTATTACGCCGAGTGTTGTGGGTTCAAACCCCACATGGAACAACACTTTGTGTGATCCACAAATTGTTGTTCTGAGTCTGGGTGTACTTTGTATCCGTTTCATGTATGTTTGTAAAGTCCCCCGCGACACAGGATTTATTCCTAGTGCGGGAGTTGTCTTTTTCAAGAAAAAGAAAAAAAAAATTTGGCAAGTAACAACGTCTTATACTACAAGTACAGGGAAAAATCTGAAAACTATACATTTGTAATCTTAATATATATAAATCTCCTGTCACGATGTTTGTCCGCGATGGACTCCTAAACTACTTAACCGATTTTAAATTAAATTGGCACACCGTGAGCAGTCTGGTCCAACTTAAGAGATAGGATAGCTTAGATCTTTAATTATAGTCGCAATTTTATTTTATTGTAAATTATTGGTCTATAATTAATTGACAGTCACAATTATCTGTTAACTCCAAAAGATTCTAACAGATGTCGATACTTTTCGACTGGATTGAGTAAGTAATCAATAGATGGCACTGCTATGGTAAACCGACAAACGTGTTATATAAGCTACAATTCAATATCAAACGCGGGTAACACCGCGGGTCTCAGCTAGTTTAATCATAAAAATATAGTCTTTATACATCTACATTTGTACGTAATCAAACATCGAGGTACAAATTCACTTATTAAACACAATTGAAGTAATTATAGGTATAGTAATATTTGGAAACTGAATTTCGGAAAAAGCTCTGAAAAAAAGGGAGACTCGACTCTTGAAATATTTATAATATGTACCTAGAAATTCGTACGGAACCCTCGGATGGCGAGTCCGACTCGCACTTGTCCGGATTTTTATTTTTAGAAATGGCAAGTGTAAACAAAGGCAACCTCCACGTGAAAATTTGCACTTGAATTGTATTATCTTTAAGAAATGATAGTCACTGTCGTATCTAGCAACAGTCTAGGACCATAGCCAATAACAACAAAGAAGAACAAAGGCCAACGACATCAAATATATGCGATTTCTTTGAATTTAGTTGTTTTTCTTTCACAAGTACATGTCCTGGTAACATCCTATGACGAATAAAATTTCTTGGTCCATTGAGTTAAGGATTTAACCTGTATTTAAGTTTTAAATATAAGCACGAGTATTAATTTTTACATGACTTTATGCACTTTTGTACATCGGCGCGGACTGAATGCGTAGCCGAGGTCATTCTTTTAGTCAACCTTTGGGTGGTGTAGAAATCGTGAGGTAGGCACACAAAGGTTACATTAGTAATCAACTAAATATATACACATACATTTATAGTTATATATAAATATATACAGATATATAAATATCTACATTAAAGTCGTACTCTATGATATGAATATATGTATTTTGGGTGATATCTCGATGGGAAGTAGGCCGCAGGCCCGTGCGTGTTTCCTACTTTGTGAGCTCAATTGCTGAATAAACGGGATATTCAACACAAAATTAACTCTAGGCTTGTAGAATTATCTATCCCATTAAAAGTTTATCCTTTTAGGTATAATATTTGCACAGATTTTTGTTGTTTCACCAAGATATTCGACCAGGATTTTAATAAAACATCTAAAAGCTACATAATCGATTTATTTTAAATTTAAATAAATTATATTTTCTTAAGCAGTCTATTCTTACAAATAACAGACGATAAGTTATTAGTGAATATTTAACATTGGAAATAATAATATAAAAATATAAACCACGCCCTGAGTAACATAGGCGATAGTAACTGCAATTAAATGGAAATTTTAATGATAATATTAGGGCCCCTGCACACTTAACTTATAACCGGAATTAGTCAGACCGACTCAATGACAGGAGCTCGTTCTTTCAATGGGAATGTTCATACTGGTTATAGGCCCTATGCAAGATACTATCCCAGATAGATTTAGTTGAAAATAATAATTTCACAATTTGCAGGATGCGAGTGAGACAGTAAAAGTGTGCGCAGTCGTGCGGTGATACAGAGGCCCTTGTTGAGATATATTGATTCCAACTTCATACTGTCACGGCACTTCAACCAACAAATATAACAGTCTAAAACTCCTGATCAATATAAATACAAAATTGGTCTCTCTCCCTATTCTTACTCTTAAAATATGCAGTTTATTAATATCGGTAACAATAGCACAATTAATATTGTGAGCAAATTTAAGTAGGTAATTTTAATTAGATAATTTTTTAACTTGACTTCTAGGTCTCTGTCGATAATTGATTTTTGTTAAACCGCGCATTGTTAAATATTAGAATATTATAACACAAAGTGCAGTGTGCAGAGACCCTTACATGGTGTTGTTTAAAAATCGATTATTTTATTTAAAAGCACGGTTTTTTTAGTCGATTGAATTTATTTGATAACTGGTTAAATGATAAACATTTTCGTATCGTATACAAAAATTATATTATCAATTACTGGTCCACCATATTCTTCATTTTTATCATTATCCTCTGTGTATCTTGAGAATATAAGTACCTGTTACCTCTGATAATCTGATTTTAACCAAATTTCTCCTTCTATTAGAAAATCCCTTCATCGTTTGCTAAATATGAGGGTAGTTGTCAAAAACAAGCCTTCTATAATATGCTACATTATGACCAATCTCAGTAAAAGCTGCAAAAATTTAATTAAAAAAGCTCAAAAATAATCAATTTTCAAACAGCACCACTGACTATTTTATGTATAGATCACGCGGCAGCCAGTTTACCGATCCTGTCATCCAGTTTCTTTATTTCCTTCTGGAGACTGTCAACGTTGTGGGCGAACACTTCTTGCACGCCCTGGAGTAACTCTTTGTTGTTCTGAACACCGCTTGCTATTGTTGTTTGTAAGGTTTCCAGTTCCGTCAGAGATTTGCCAAAGTTGCATGCTGTGGAAGAAACAAAAATTAAGAAAATTAAAAAAATGCATTTTTATCTCCGAACAGGATAGGGTCATATAAAACTCCCACATTTAGTCAACTATCATTTTAATGCCATTGCTCATATATTCTCACATATTCCTAAATAAACATACTTATATGTTTACACAGAACAAAAGATCATGCTCATCAGACAATATTTGTCTTGGGTGGAAATCGAACCCACGACCTCAAACTTAGCAGTGAAGGTCACGAGCTACTAGCCATACGAAAGTATATCGTAAACCTTAATACTTCAAAATTTGTGTTAATGTCTAACCTTGATGGTGGAGTGCTTCGAGTGCTTCCATACGTTCCAATATCTCAGAATGTGAAATACCATCAATTTGTTTCAATAACTTGTATAACTCGTTCACCTGAAATTGGCAGAGACACATTACATTTGTATTTATTTAGGTTAACACCTGTAACAAATCATTTATTTTTAATTAAGTTTACAACATTATCCCAGCTACTTTTAAAACTCTTTGATTTTGCAATAATCATGCCTGCCCCTGCCACTCTACCCTATTGTGGTTGCATTATCATTGATGAGAAATGAGATAAATAAAAAAATCTTTGAAGAGGGTTGTTTGTATATTGTATCATGATTTGAGCTCAATCGGTGCAGTGCAATTTACTTTCGCGTACACAAACGCTTCAAAAACTCAGAAAGTATTATATTAGAAGGTATTATTATATACCCATTTAACATTTTTAACAATAGAAGATAATACCAAAACAAAATAAAAAAAATCGGTTGTCTGTAAAGTCGGTTTACTGACGATAGTTGAACGTGACAACGTCATAAGAAAATACTGATGGAATGGTTGCATTTTACGAAAACATGTAAATGTATTATTGTATAGTAGCTGTCCACGCGGACGCATCGCTCACTCAAGTAGGAGAGAGACAGATGTCAAACGCTGCCGAACGCAGAGGCCGATTGTGCCTCTTTGTCGCTCGTTCCGCGCTCTCGCTTGCACTTCAAGCCTTAAATGGAACGCCTCAGAGCGAGGTAACGCCGCATGAGTCATGTTTTTTCGTCCGTGCAGCCGGCTCCATCGAATTATAAGACGTTGTCACGTCAAAAAATATCACACTTAGTTTGTATTGTTACCTTAGCGTCTAGATCAGGATCGGCAGGTTTGACGCTAACTTTAAGCGCGTCCACGTTGGCCCTGAGCGCTGTGACGCGTGCGTCAGCCGCAGCCAACTCGCCGGGCCGCAGAAGCGCCGCCTGCGCTGCAAGAGATGCGGCCGCGCCACATAATGTCGCCTGCGAACGAATAATACTTAATAACAGAGCTTTGCAAGGCACTAACAGTGCTTGTCTGATCTACCTGCCATTCATTGTGTTTTTACTAAATTTAAGAAATTATTTAAAACTATTTTAGCGAACCTGTCCAGTAGCTGCCTGTAATCTCCTGAAAGCCTCCTCATCCCGAACACCAGCTGCCTGCTCCAATTTATGTAACCTGACAAATATGGCAATAAAAGTTTTAATTCTGGATTCTAAGTTGTATTCTTCCTATATGGGTTTTGGAAGCAATCAAATCATGTATCAAAAGATTTCATATTTTTTAATGGAATTATGTCTGTAAGGTACTTTTTCTTTGTCACTGATTAATTACATAGAACTAATATTCTGTAAACAGAATTTTAAGCCACTTGAGGCGCGGCCCAAGTTTCTTTTAATTCTTATATATTTATTTTAATAATTTCAATTACAACTAAGTAATTGTGGGAGAACTTAGATATAGTCTTGTGTAAATTACTAAATAAATTATTAACTGGTTTAATTTTGTCATTTATTGTCTTTCTTTTCCAATTTCTTACAAAAATGCATTTGGAACAGAAACTACTCGCAACTGCTAGTTGCGAGTAGTTTCTGTTCCAAATAGATAGTCCTATAAGATTTCATATCCGCAACTGTGTCTGAAATCGGTATATTGTTATTCCTATATCCTTATCCAGATGTAAAATGTATGAAATTCACTGCCTCCATGGTGCATTGGTGACTGCTGTGCTGAGGTCTCGGGTCCGACTAAATGTTTGTAAGATCTGCAAATATTTGTTTCGGAGTTTTGGAGTTTGTGTTTTGGATGTATGTATTTACAAACAAAAGTTTACAAGTATTCTATCCGTCAATCTAGCTTTCATAGTACAAGCTCTGCTAAGTTTGAAACTAGATGGCGCTGTGTGTCAGATGTCAAATAGAAAAAAACATTTATTGCAAAAAACTGTGTACGGTTGTTTTGTAGTAGGTAAAGTTTCAACAGTTACCCAAACAGGCATTGCAATTATAAAGTACACTACATATAAATAAAAATAAAAGATTACAATGAATTTAACAAGCATGCAAATTAGCATTGTCTAATGCCTTTATTTGTATTAAATACTCTTATTGCTGTTATGCTTTTGTAATATATAATACATACATATAAATGATCTGAAATGTACATGTATATATCCATAACATCTCTGATAGACGTAGCGTTATATTATTGTATACCTGTGTTCAAGCTGTGCTACCCGTGTAGTATACGCTAAGTTCACTTCAGGTTTCAGTTTCAAATGTGCAGTTACCATTTCTCCCTGCTTCCTTTTGCCATTACTTGATAAATACTCCCTGTAAACAACAAGTGACACACCATGATCAAACATACACTCGTCTATTTTATTTTGATTCTAGTAGTTTAATATTTTTTCAAACATGTTGTGTCATACACACAACGTAGGTTGTACACATAACTAAACATAGTAACATATGCCCTATATGTTACTATGTTTAGTTATGTCTTAATACAATTTGTGTTTACATTGTATCTAAACTTTTAGTTAACATAGGGAATATTTTTTAAGAACCTTTACAATACAGAACAAATACTTAATATCAGTTGACTTACACAATTACTAGTATTGCATCGTGTATACCCCAACTAAGTTATAATATACCTGCATTATAACACTCATGATAGAGTTTCTATTCAGAGTACGAAGCTATTTCTTTTGACCAACTTACTTTAATTTTTCAGCCTTAGGATCAATTTGCTCGCCTTCTTCCAGTTTTAACTCTTCAAGCAGTTTCTTTGTTGAGTTTATTTGAACTGCGAGTTTTGTGTACTCCTCCTAAAAATTATACAATGATTTAATTTTATATTACAAAAATGAAAGCAATTGCCATGATTGTTTCTTTTTTATTTTATTTTAAAAGGCAACTTCATCATTAGGAATATATCCTGTGTCGTGGGGGACTTTACAAACATACATGAAATGGACACAAAGAACACCCAGACTCAGAACAACAATTTGTGGCTCTCACAAAGTGATGGCCCATGTGGGGATCAGACCGACAACACTCAGTGTGCGACTGCTCAAACCACTACGCCATCCAGAATCCATCATTTGACAGAGTAAAACAGTGATCTTCTTATTGGGTAATGAAGAAACTTGTTGTGCCTTCAATTTTTGCCCTTTATATGGCTCAAAACTAGTCAGGCATTTGAAAAACAAAAAAAATAAGACTAAATAGACCTATAGTTATTGCTTAGATTTGAATGATATATTCATACAGAAATTAATATGATCACACAGTAAATTTATACCTAGCTCTGGTCTGGTCATAGACTGATCAGCAATGGTGAGTGCGACCTGGTCGCAACATAAGACAATTGAATATAACTGTGAAATTTCCCGCATGTATACAGTTATATTTAATGGAGTGTGAAAGTTTAAAAGATTATCTAACTTACATTCCTGCTATAGGTATTACTGTCCTTTTAGTGATGGCTTAAGTATACAGTTTCACCACTATTCACCCCATAGGTGTTGTTAAAGCAAATTAGGGCAGTAAACTATGCAGGGAAATAACACTGCAGAGAGAAGGAAAATTCAAAACAAACCCTAAATCAACACATCTGGCCAGCGTGATGTAGTAGGCCAAAACTTCCTTTCTAAGGAGAGGCCCATTTCCAGCAGTGGATAACTAAAGGCTGTTGGTTCATCAGGTCCTTTGCGTCCTTCTTTGCATCATATTTTAAAAGTGAGATATAATTATCTTACCTTTTCACTTTCTGTAGCTTTATTTTGCTGTTCAGTAACTTGTTCTAATAATTCAGAAAATTCGCAGCGCAACCTGTTGTAGCGCTCCAGGGCTGTTTCTGGTTCACCCTCAGCTGCCAATTCCCATTCCCCTGCCCTATTGAAGAAAATTAATGAATTAACCTTAAGCCTTTGTTCAATGTTGTGTTCTTAATGATTTTCTTCAATGCACGAATGAAAAATATATATTTACCTGTATCCAATACGCGATTTTCTGCTGAGTCTATCGGAAAAATCTACAGTGCCAGTTAAAAATTTCCCTTTAAACTTATTAAATGAGTCCTTTACAGATAAATGTAATTGTTCAATATTCTCGTTATCCTCTTCCTCTATAGGATCTGGCTGGTCTGCTTCCGGTAAGTCACCGGTTTCATATACATCAGGCTGATCGTATGCCTACAAATAACATATAAATCAAAACCACTGATTTAAAACTGTAAATCGATTATTTTTTTAGTTTTAATCCAATCCACTTACTATGCCAGGGAGATTCTCGTATTTAGGATCTGCCATATTAATTTAGTTAATTATAATTTTACTTATAAATCAATACAATATTTTGTTAATTTAATTCAATTTTTATACGAATGACGTCACTGAAAAACGGGACGAGTATCTGTATCTATGCAGTCACTTTGACAATAGCGTTTCGTTAACTAATTAAGAACATAATAGTGTGCTTAAATTTAACATCAAGTTAAACAACCTTATTTACTTATTTTGTAAGTTTGATGATAAAATACGTGTATTATTCTATTAATTAAATTGTAACATATTTTATTATTATTTAAAAATTAGTTGAAACGGTAGTAATGTTGGCAAAAATGCAAACAGAAAAACGTTTCAAATGTTTTTTGAGATTGTGATTTCAAGATAAATGTAATATTGCAGAGCTAAATCAAGGGCTATTGGCAATGATTTGTCTTTTTAAAAGAAGAAAAGGAAGGGCCGATACTGTTAAATATCCTTGTTAAACTTTATAATAATCTTTTCCAATTTGTTATTGATTAAAATTGATCATTAGTCGAGAAAATAATACTACTTTGCTTTCTCTGTAATTGTAAAGTTGCCAGGTTCAAACAGATGAAAAGGAATAATTTTAGAAAAATGTAACCGCCTTAATTATATTAATTTATTATTTTTATGACGTAATGACGTCTAAAGTCTATACCTATTCAATAGTCAAAACTGTGTCACATCCATCCAGATTTTATTTTATTTTGAAATTCTAAGTTTTAATCTCGAGCAGAGTGTGGCAGATAAGTGCTGTGTGCACTACACTTACGAGTAGACATTACCACCAATTCCACTAATGTTACTGAAATAATAGTTTTATTGTTTTTATGTTTCACTCTTTTTGTTAAGTATATGGTAGTTTCTAGTTTCCTAAAATTATGGCAGCACTAAGACACGTCATTAAAAATTTGTCGACCACCTTCACCTTACGTCATTTTTATAGTCATTGTTGTTAGTCACCGACTATTTTATTTTATATATAAACTGCATTACGTGCTGTGGCTGCGAATACTGTCGTTTTGCTTGTGTAGCACTAACGGTTTTTCATTTCTGCATTAAAAACAATCGATCCAAAATGAGTCTACAGTGGACAATAATTGCGACGTTCTTATACGCCGAAATAGCGATAGTTCTTCTTTTGACATTGCCGGTCGCGAGTCCTTCAAAATGGAACAAATTTTTCAAATCAAAGTTTCTGGCTTACATAAGTGGTCAAGCGTCTATTTACTTCCTAATACTGATTGGAGTGTTAGTACTATGCCTTCTCGATGCGATCCGGGAAATGCAAAAGTATTCAAACATCGAATCCTCAGACCACCAACATCTGGATGCTGAAATGCAAGGTAACATGAGGCTATTCCGTGCTCAGAGGAACTTCTATATCTCTGGTTTCGCATTATTCCTACTGGTTGTCATCAGGCGGTTGGTGCAGATGATTACTCAACTTGCAACTTTATTGGCTCAGTCTGAGGCTAACTTCCGTCAAGCACAGAGTGCGACAGTTACAGCCAGAACGCTCTTAGATCAGCAGGGAGCCGGCGATGAGAAGAGCAAGAAGGAACTTGAAGAACTTAAGAGTCAAATTGAGTTGTTGGAGAAAGATCTTATTCGAGAGAAGAAGGACAAGGAAGCAGTGAAATCACAGGCCGAGAGTCTTAATAAAGAATATGACCGTCTGGCAGAAGAACACAGCAAATTGCAAAAGAAAGTGACGGTAGCCAGTGGAGGAGACGGCAAGAAAGATGAATAGATGTACAAAAAAATTGTCTAATTAAAAGAGAAATATGAAACTAAATATTTTTTTATCAATTAAGTACAGCGCTAAGGCTTGTATCTCTATCATTCTATATCTTAAAAGAAATGAAAAATCTAATTGAATTTTAGAACAAAATATTTGCTGTCATAATTGTATCGAGTTATTAATGATTTTTAGGGTTAAGGCTTTTGAGAATTGTTACTTACGTAAAGTTTTTTCTGATATGAATATTTATATTTCTCTGTAATCATATATTTCAGGTTGATGAGGCATTAAGGTTAATATATGGATTTATGTGTAATATACAATATCAATGATTGAAAAGCAAGCATTAAAGCTTACAATTTAATTTACATAAAGTTTTACAACAATAAAACTTTATTTTTCACATTGTTGCTCTTATTTTCTTTTTAAAATACTGAAGCAATTGTTAATTTGTTGTTTAAACTCTGAATGCATCATTTGTTATTTTGTTTATGGAAAGAGTCAAGAAGTTAATGGAAGTTTATGGAAGGTCAAATGAAAAATGTAGAAAATAATAAAATGGTATGTCAAATTGGGTAAGGTTCTGGTGATAGTCTTCAAACTTGTTTTTAAATAACTTTTAATTACATAAATCCTCATCATCTTTTATTGTCATTGTTTTGATGCCCCTTTCACTATTTAATTTGGGATTAGCATAATGCTAAACTTGCAAAGAGTTTTGTAATTTAATAAAGCCCAATTAAAATTGTATTTTTATTGTAAAACATGGTACATCTCATATCTGCTTGTTTAAAGACATAAATCTTATTAGAATATGAACTTTGATAGTTCTAAGTCCATTTCTTGGACTCTCCTCATTAAAAGCTAATTAATAAGTATATTGTTAACATCATCAATAGACAAACAACATTTTATTTTTATTTTACTGTTTTGATTTTGTGATTCTTGTTTTTTACTATGTTTAATTTATCATTTTTATGTTGAATCTGCATTTGAGTGTATTATTTGATCTGTCCTGTGCAACAAGGATTCAAAATTCAAAATGTATGAAACTAATGCAGGGGAATGTACAAGGCCTCCATTATCTGTGTATTGTGAAAAACAATTTTACTTAGTTTTCATGATAAAAGGATGTCTAATCAGAGTGATAAAACAGCATTTTTATAGAAATATATTGTGTGACAATATGTATAAACTTATAGCTGTTTGAGAACATTGCACAACACTGTCAATTGTTGCTCAAAATACAATTATTGTAAAAAAAATGCTCTGGAAACCGGTTAAGATGAATGTTATTGATTTTGTCTTAAGCACTGATTAATGGCCAGTACATAACCTTAAACCATTAAACTGTGTACCTATATAGATATGTTTGGTAGTCTGTACTATGTTTGTGTTTCATGTATTTTAAGACTGGATTGTTCTATGGATTGATTTGTTTTGTTATCGTGCAATGTTGCTTAAACTTATTACATTTTTAATACAACTAATGATACAGCTTTTATTAAATACCGCCATTTTTCCTTAATCTGTTTTTGTGGAACTTTAATAGAATTACAAAGATAATTTAGTTATCATAATGAATTAAGGAGTTTTCGTAAGTAAGATATAGTATCTTTATTTAAAACTTAACTGTTTAATTCATTTTTAAAGGTAAATGAATATAATAATTTAAAAATATGAATGCGCAACTTTGCCCGCTTATTTTATCTACCATCCTGTCTGATATGACAAGCTAGATGACTATCATCATCACCTCGATATCCCGCCTTTTTTCCAATATTATTTGGGGTCGTTTGGCAATGTTTAACATTGCAGAAGCTTATGTATGGGTTTATTTAATCCTACTACTGCCTGATGCAAGACCTCTTTCGTAACGCAATGGTTATCACATGGGAAAAACGAGAATGTTCGACCGGGGTAAGGAACACCGGGTACCGTAAGTCTGTGTAGCGTAGGCGTAGAGGGTTTGAGACTGCAGCAACTCCATCAGTACGGCGGTGCGAAGGTACTCATACTCATTGAAAGTGTATAAAGTTTTATACTTCCAAGATTGAAAGTTAAAAATTCGATTAAAGTTACTTATCAGAATGGGTTCTAACAAGAACTTTGTTGGTTAAAGTAAAGGGGAAATAAATGTTAGCCCATAAACACGAATCTTACGAAATCGCGCTAAGATTTACCGTAGACGTCTAGTTGCCCGTCTGCGCCGTGTTCATACTATAAATACCACTTGTCAACAACGTGATTCATCATTGTTTTTAGATTAGTGAGGCCATGATTTCGAATTGTGCAATTTACCACGTCAGACTTTACTATGTTATTAGACATCTATGTATCTTTTGGACTTTGGTCGACAAGATTATTATTATAGTTGGTTTTGTGTAGTAGCTACTTATTAATTTTGTACTTACCTACATTAATCCACTGTTGTACTTTTGTTTATCTAAGTTGTTAGAGTTACTACAACTAGTCATTCATTGATTGACATCAAAGTCCTATATCTAGCGTGTTATTCGAGCTAGTTAATAAAAAAACAACATGTACATGTATGTTTCATTTAAAAAAACAACATAGGTATAAAATGGACATACCTAAATGTACCTGCATACTGGATGACGACACTTGCCTACATTTTGAGGTAATGACCGCAGTGTAATATAATAGGTCAATGGCCAGAATATAGGTACCAATCTAAATAAAGGTACTGTAAGACAAGGTAAGTATTTTTGTAAAATTATGTTCTGAGGGAAGAATATTAAAAAATACTCTTCAATAAGATTATTAGTAGTTTTTTAATATTTAGGTATAGTAGAAGTAAGGTACCTAACTAAGTAATATACCTAACTTCCAATTTTCATGTTAATTTACAAAATTGGATATTTCTTCGTAATTTTATTTGGTAGATGTTTGTATCCGCACTAATTATAAATGCGAAAGTGTCTGCAATGTCTGTCTGTCTGTCGTCATTCTTCACGCTTAAACCACTTAACTGATTTTTATGAAATTTTGGTATAGAGATAGTTTGCGTCCCGGGAAAGGACATAGGATAGTTTTTATCCCAGAAATCATCCTTTAAGGGGGTGGAAGTTTGAACAGGGAATCAATAACCGCTGAACCGATTTAGATGAAATTTGGTATGGAGATAGTTTGAGTTGTGGGGAAGGACGCAGGCAATAACCGACATACACACGTGTGGAGCCGCGGGCTTTGACTGTCTCGGTGATGCAGTGGTAGCGTATTGCGACTGCTGTGCTGAGGTCTCGGGTTCGATTCCCCGATCGGACCAAATGTTTGTATGATCTGCAAATATTTGTTTAATAGTTTGGGTGTTTTCTATGTTTAATTTTTATAAAAAAAGGTATGAGTATTCTATCAGTCTATTTAGCTTTGATAGTACAAGCTCTGCTTAGTTTGAAGCTTAGTCTGCTAGAAACTAGATGGCGTTGTGTGTCGTTTCGTTATCCGTGTGGTGACGGATTAAGAATACTGAGTGTCACCTCCCCTATTCATCCCGTGGTGTCGTAAAACCCGATTTAGGGAACAACAGGATAACAGCACTGCAAAGAGAAGGAAAACTTGAAACAAACCCTATACCAACCCGTCTGGCCAGCGTGGTATACTAGGCCAACACCTCCTTTCTAAGGAGAGGCCTATGTCCAGCAGTGGACTAGTAGAGGCTATTGATGATGATGATGTTGTGTGTCAGATGTACGAAAATATTATTAAATATTATTCATAGGACATAGTCATAGTCGCGCCCATATCAGAAAGCCATAGTAAGGTTTGCCATCGTCGGATACGTCGCGGAGGATGTTATATCATATGATATCATTATCATCATTATACAGGATTTAAAGAACGAAGAACTTGAAAGAAATGAGCAGTTGCAATTACCTATGATATTGAATCATCATCACAATCGTATTGACTTACTTTAAGAATACAATCATTTAAAAAAAAATAAGAGTTAGTGTTTTATATCATCATGGAGTGAAATGAAGATTGAATTGAAAAAATATTTCAAACTTAGAACCCAAGATTTCAAGATAGTTTCAATAAAAATGTTTAAAGCTTTTTTTAATTTTCTATCGCATGTGTATCATAGATTAATCGCATTTTTTTTGTACACAGATCTCTTATGCTAACCAGACTGCTATAGATAAATTATACCCATATAGCAGTGACCTCTTCTTACCTTTTATATTTTTAACCCCCCGACTGAAAACGAGGGGTGTTATAAGTTTAACGTGTGTATCTGTATATCTGTGTATCTGCGTATCTGTGTATCTGCGTATCTGTGTATCTGCGTATCTGTGTATCTTCGTATCTGTGTATCTGCGTATCTGTGTATCTGTCTGTCTGTTTGTGTATCATAGCTCCCGAACGGACGGACCAATTTAGATGCGAATTTTTTTTTGTTCGAAAACCGATGTGATCGAGATGGTCCTTAGCTATAAATTTTGAAGATCGTCAGCTCAATTCCTATGTGATGAAGGGATCTCACTAAAATCCACAGGTCCAATTGATCTGAAATTTGGTATAATGTTACTTTAATTTCCGCGACATGGTAATCTGTAACTTGCTGCTTTAAGTAGTCTGCGGGATAGCCAACTCCTCAGAAAATTACAGCATATATACCATGTTTGGGCTTATTAGAATGCTCAACGAGCAGTTGTTGTTTTTTTTAGGTATTTTTTTTGTGTCGGGGGTTTTTAATGATGCTATTATACATACTCGGGGTAAGTACAATGGGCTGGTATATCAACCATTTTATTATTTGAGTTTTAAAGACTAACAAATAAATACTTACGGAAATAAATAAATCTAGGACAAAATAAAACAAACTTTTTTATACTTAAGTCATTTATTTTTATTTAAATAAAACGCATGAAATTAACAATTACAAAATTTATTATTTAGTAAAATCATAAAAGATTATTCTAAGCAGATAATAGTATCTGCTTAGAATAATTTGAAATAGAATTGCAGACTCAATTGCGATATTGTAAAATTAAATAAATTGTTGCAGGAATAAATAAAATCGTGAAGTTTACCCATAAGGTGAGTTTGCGTTTATGTATCTATTAAATTCGATAAGGTCGATCAAGTGTTCAAGTGATCAGCAGCTATAGTCAGTCAGATATTCTGACAAGTAAGTAAAATAATTTTTACAGGTCGAATACATTTGTTTACTTATTTTGTTACAATAATTTTTATTTAATTTATATAAATTTTGCGTGCGTTCCAGAACAGAAGAACATTTGAGGTGAATTAAAAATGGACGGTTACTCGATGAGAAATGGATAAAATAAATAAAAAATAAATAAATGTACACAGACAGGATTATAAGTTTTTTTTTATTTCACGTTATGCAAAGCAACTTTTTATTGCTATGACATTTATGCGCATGTCTGCAATTCCAATTATATTGAAAAAAAAAAGACAATAGTCAATTTTGATTAATTGATGATTAATTTTATAAAATAAAGTTATTGAATATAAACCAAACAACACAAAATTTAAACTACGAGTTATCAGTTTGTAACTAACATAAAACTCATCCAAAAGATAAACCACGAATTTTATTGAAGCTACTTTTTTTGCTCTTAGTTCACATGCTATATCTCAACTTTGAAAATGTATGTATAAACCAATACAAAAACATGAGATACGGTTTACAATTCATCCTTAACGGAATTACGATAGTTTTCATACTCGTTGAAGCCTTGACTGTCCCAGAAGGATTTCTGACCGAAGTCAGAGGATGATTTCATCTCTAAATTATTTGGAGATAAAATGTCGAGGTAGTCGAGCTCGGGTGCACCTGGCCTTACAGGGAGCCATTCTGGGCCACCTTTGGTAAGTTTTGGAACACTGAAAGAGGAAAATCACATAAGTATTCAAAAAATATATCGATTTTGTATCCAATTTGAAACGAGGACGGCCACAAGTCTTGATGTAATAAAAAGTGTCTTATTGGATACATTTTAAGGACATTTTTATTGGAACACAGTTTTATCAGACGGACACGACAATATTTTTTATTCTTCCCTTTTTCCAATTTTTTTTGGAGTTGTTGCAGACATGTAACAAAGTAAAATAATTTTGGCTTAATTTCTCTATGGAATTTAATCATTTTCGGACCGGACAAGTAAGAAGAAGAAAGTAGTAAGAAGAAAGTATCGTCTTTACTTTAGGGATACGTGCTCAGGGCCCACCACAATAAGGGTGGAATAAGGGGGAAAGGTACTCATAAAGTATGATGTAAATCACAATTTCCATATTTAAGTATGTGCTCACATGGAGCCACTCAAAAGGTAGAGGGTTGATATTGAATACGTTACCCGGTAGTAGAGAAGCTGTAGACCATGTTTATGAGTGCATCAGCCATGGCAGCGTGTTCCGCGCTTTTGACTTCGACTTCTGGGTACTTGAACATAGTTATTACATCGTCACCGTGACTCACACCTGTAACAAAAAATATGAAACTTTTAAAAGTTGCAAGAACGAAAAAATACTGTTCGTAATGAATTAAAATTTTATTTCAAATTAAATAGTCCTTAAGAAATGTTACATATATTTCTAAAAAACATCAAAACACTTTCGAAAGACTGTTCGTTTGTCAGTAATCATTACTGCCATTATGGCGGGTGAGGAAAGCTGGGCAGCAGTGGTCTCTTTATGTGAATCTGTAATGCTCCAGAAAGCGACCACTGAACGGGATCAGCAAAGATCCATCGTCGACGGGGTTAAACGTCTACAGACCTGCGGGCTACCAGAGAGTGGTGATCTTTTGTGGCAGATTAGGGGCTGCGGTGCCTGATCGTATCAAGACGCCATCAGGTCGCACTGTAGTTATTGGACCGATCAGCGGTGGTAAGCTTGTAGCTTCCCCCAGGATAAAGCCTGGCTAGGCGGAAGGGAGACCTTGAAATCACAGCTCCCGGGTCCTTAGAGTAGGACGCTTGAAGACCGCTGTCAGGGTGGTTATTACAGGGAACACCACATGCCTTATCTCCTGCATAATTGTCGACGTTTGGTCCCCAAGGAGCCGGAGTTCCATCCCCCTTTCAAAAAAACGACCGTTCGTCCCGACAACGAATGGTCTATTTTTTGTAAGCGGATATCAAATATAACATTTATTTTTGTTATGCACTTTAATATTTATATTAAGGCACGATGGAGTAAGCAGAGATTAAACGGCCACTTTTTGTAGATTATAATTTTAATCATTGCACAAGCCTTCAACCTGCACTTAAGGAATTAGATCGGAAAATTCGGAGTCCAATATGTATTAGGAAAAGTTGGTAAGATGGAAAGGTTGGAAAAGGATATCGCTTATACAGAGACATCAAGCAACATCGGGAAGTAGGTTTGGGTCGTACACCCTAACTCGATCTTACTGTTCCCTAGAAGTGGAAAGTCGTTTAATCGTAATTTTACATTGTCAACAAATTTTTCAAGTTATCATTTCCTTCTAGCCTGTTTCCAAATCTAGGTTGGGGTCGCCTTTGAGTCTACTACGATACGGCTGAACTTAGATTTCTACGCGGAGCGACTGCCATTAGACCTCCAAGACCCAAGTACTAGGCGATTTCGAAGTTCTGTAGAAAGACTGTTGTTGGGCTGTTTAGGGCTTCCTGTTTAGGGTTTAATGTTCGTATGGCAATCGAGAACGACAGTTTGACGTGCTCTTCTCTATAAACTGAACTGGCAAGGATTGCTTAACTTGGAAATGTGTTAACCTGCTCTGTTATCACTTAACCACAAGCCCTAATTTTTCGTTTTCTTTCTTTTTTAAGTGATATCCCACCCTAATTATAATAACCATGTTCATTGTGGCCTATTTGACGTCACACACACACAAATGACATGACATGCATATTTTATACGCAAAAACTTACCATAGTTAATTTCGCTTTGGCTAAATATGTCCGACAGACTAAATGTTCCTCGGTAAGCGTATCTGTAAAAATAAGTTGGTTGGCCAGACTTAGCTGCGTGTATTTGCGCTAATTTGCCAACATCAGCCACAAACAGCCGGTCGCCGAGAGCCTGTAAATTAATACTAACTGTAAAAAATGCATGATAACTAAATACATTCATCAACAGCTTTTAAAAGTCCACTGCTGGACATAGACCTCTCCTTAGAAATGAGGTTTTGGCCTATTATATCACGCTGGCCAGACGGGTTGGTATAGGGTTTGTTTCAAGTTTTCGTTCTCTTTGCAGTGATGTTGTCCTGTGTAGTTTTGCTTCCTTAGTCGGCTCTTATAACACCCACGGGATGAATAGGGGTGGTGACACTCCGTATTCTTAATCGGTCACCACAAGGACTTTTGTGATACAACGAGTAAATTAGTGGGCTGGTAGTTGTGTTTATTTTGAGTAATTAAAATAATTTGTGTCTATCTCGTGTATAAATCGCTGTATTTATCTAATCACAAGCCTAGCCAGCAAGGAAATGGAAACGCCAGGTATTCAGTGCAAGCAATTTCTGTAGTATATTCGTAGTATAATCACTTTGGAATCTCTGCTAAATCTTTGAATGGCATGAGAATGACAATGAGTACCTGCACTAATTGTGGGAAGGTCTCTTGACTGACTGGTTTGCCTCCAAGATAATATTGCTTGATAGCCTGTGCGACCTCAGCGCGACGGTTTATGGGAAGTGTGTCATTGAATTCAAATATATTAGCAGCCAGCTCATCCCAGTTCGCTTCCAGGTCTTGTAGAATAGTTGGATCTCTGTGATATACTGAAACAAGAAATATTATACATAGGTTAGTGTTGATCAAGAGATAGGTTGACTCTTGTTAATTTCAGTATTTGAAATTATTCTATTAAATTCTAGCTATTCAGTATTAAATTATTGAACCCACTATTTACAAACATCCAATAAACGGCAACGTCTACAACTAGAATCGAAATAGCTGTCTTTGAATACTAACAATAAAAGAATAAAGTGTGGGCATCCTATTTGAGGATCGAAACTATAATATTATGACTGTCATCACATCACATCACATCACATCACATCAACGGCCCTTAATAGTCTACTATACCACGCTGGCCAGACGATTTGGTTAAGTTTTCCCCCTCTTTGTAGTGCTGTTGTCCTGCGTAGTTTGCTCTCTTAGTCGGCTATTACGATACCCACGGGATGATAGCGAGGGGTACTCCTTATTCTTAATCCGTGACCACACGGACATATCTATACGAATACTAAGTCATGGGGAAGTGAGAATGATAATATAATCAATTAAATTTGTAAACATCGGACAGAAGTATAATGTCAACAACTACTCTTGAAAGTAAACATGCGAACAAATTCAGAAAACCAAGTGTTTTGTATAATAGCCATTAAATTTATTGCTACTTTAAAATCATATTCATTTGATGAAGAGATTGGTTTTAGCCACAGCGATGTCACATGTGACTGTGATTTCGTCATAATAGTCAAAGATAAATGGCATCAAAATCAATCAAAATTCTCATCAAACCTATCTTAGACTTTTCACAGGTCTTGCCCTAGCGTAATAAAAATAATTATGTAGCAGTGGTGTTGTTAATTAATTACAGGTGTGATAATATGATCTACAAATCATGATTTATTACATGTGATTGTAATTTTTTGCCATCCCTACTGTATAACTTAAAATGTGCTAGTGTCAGGTAGTTGTCAGTCGGCGTATATGCTTACCAGTCACGATATTTAGTAGTTTATCAGTCGACTCCAATCAGTCAGTCATCCATACAATATCAGACACTGAGGAACTACTTACAGGTTACTGAATCATCTACCTGACTACTAGATAAATGTACTTACTAGCAGCCGGGTACAATCCCTCCTCAGAAGTAACTGCCGCGATCAGAGGAACATTCATCATGTTTCCATTCTTGGTGGCATGGTATGGGTAATATTGAAGGAACGGCTCCCGTACTCCCCACGCCTCCACAACCGGAGAGAATGGTGTGAACAAGTTTACTTTCCACTCCTGGGGAAATGAAGATGTCTAATTATTTATCAGGTACTAAGATCTAACCCCTACTTCTGACTGGTCTGTTGGTCTAGTAGTTCCTACCTAAGATAAAATCCTACCTTACAGATACTGATTGGTTATAGATGTGAAATGAAATGAAATGATATGAAATGATATTTATTTCTGTAAGTAAATCTTTTCAGATATTTTTACAAGTCGGACTTTATAGCTAGAAGGAGCCGGCATTTCCTAAGACTCACTCTGGGAAGAAACGCCGAAACAAACCACAGAGGTGTTTTTTTTTTTTAGTCCGTAAACAAAGTTAATTAAAACTGTGCGAGTACAGTATAGGGTCTGGATAGGCCTTTTGAGGAAAGGATCATAGTTTTGAGTCAACCTGTCCACACAGACGGCATACAGGCTCCAGCCATCGTGTAGCCTAACCGATATTGGTCAAGATCAACGACCCGAAGCCATAACACTACCGCCAGCAGGACATTTGGGTAGGCCGTGGAAACACTCAAAACCACCAGAAAGATAATAAAATATGAATTAACATTACAAGCCTACACTGTACTCACATTTACACACTTACACAAAAAATAAAAAATAAAATACTATACAGTTCAAAGTCAACGAAAAATAAAATACAAAAACAAAATACGAAATACACAAAAAAAAAATGTCCATCACTTTCAAACTTAACAACAAAGACGTCTACGTAAATGTGGGAGTGAGCAGCATCAATCCCAAGCAAATTTGTCGTCTAAATAATCTGTAATAGTGTAGTAAGCCTTTTCACATAGTTTTAGCTTTACTAAAGACTTAAATTTATTAATACTTAATTCATGAAATTTGCTTGGCACTTTATTGTAAAATCGCACACCCTGACAACGAAAAGACTTGCTTACTTTTTGTAGCCTAGTGGTTGGTAACACGAGTTTATCTTTTTTTTCAGTGTTTATTTTATGCATGTCGCTAGGCTGAGAGCTTAGAGCGGCAAATTTTAAGAGGCGGCAAATTTTAGGGGGCTGCAAATTTGGCCAATGTTTTTTTGTCTTACAGAAATAAAAACAAAAGATGATTTTATATTTTACTGTAAAAGCCCAAACTACCGTAAATTCTAAGATTTCCTGTTAAAACCAAAGATTTACCAACGAATTACGGTAAAAACCGAATTTCGAGCATTTAGCACCATTCACTTGTTAAAACTTAAGATTAATACACGTTAAATGTCGATAAACAGACATTTAACGTGTATAACCAACAATAGAAGGGATCTGACTCTCGGCAGCAGCAGGTCCGAGAGGAGATCATCCTACCGGGCACGCACGCCTTCTGCAAGATGACGTCTTCGCAGAAGGATGCGACCGCGGTAAAACAACTGTCACTACAGGCCATGGAGCATATGACGGCTGGTAGCGAGAGATCCTCTCTAATGATACCAATGAGGACCTGACACTGGGACGCCCAAGCTGAGCAAATTGCCAGCGTTTGCTGAGCCGAGTCCTCAGTGCAATTGCAGTGGTGACAGGCGGGACTCAATTCCCTTCTACCGACCGAGTGCAGGTAATTCCTGAAGCAGCAATGCCCGGAATGAACCTGCGTCAATCGGAGAGAAAGGGTCCCGTGCTGCTTCCCTGCCCACTCGGCAATGACTGGCTGCAGCGCGTCCACGATGGCAAAACCAGCACGTGGACCGGAGGGTGTACGTGCTGGTTTTGCCATCGTGGACATCGTGGACTGGAGAGTAGGGACGACCAAGGAGCCATCGTGCCTCGATGAGCGGCCTCAAGCCACTTGCGTACTTCTTCGAGCAGGAGCCGAGTGCCGCTAACCGCCCGGAACTCAGTTGTCCACCTATATACTTCGTCGACCACTTCCACCTATAAATCCCAAGAGGGAGTTCCGGTCAACCGAACTTCTCAACAACGGTGGTGGTGTGGGCGGTCAGAGCCGCCGCCCACACCAGTATGGTGCACCGGTGTGGGCATCGGCTTGTTGGTTGTCGATCAATGGCACTATACAGTGCTATTGACCCCTCCCCCCCCAGAGAATACCCGACTCGTCGCGACGCTGGGTCCGCGACCGAATCGGCAGGCCGTCCCGGCTTCCTTAACAGGACCAGCTTCCCGCTCTTCCAACACTCAAGAAAATACCTTCTGAGGCGGTCTGACATGTGATTCAGTCGAAGAGCCACCTCTCGTTAAGGATCAGGTCCGGATACTTCTTTTGGGCCTGGACGGGTACGAGGACCTAGTTGATCACGATTGAGGAGCCAATGCGATCGACCATCAGAGAGGTACCCAAAGATTCATCGGTGACGGCCCGAAAGGCTTTCTACACGTAAAAGAAAGGATATTGAATTACAGAGGTTAGTAGGGGCGGCCAAAATTTAATAGCCTACTGGCGGCATACATGTAAATCCGCCACTGGTCGTTGTGATAAGATTATATATTTGCAGTTAGTAAGGCTATAACGTAACGTTATATTTTAGCGCGATTCAATTATAACTTAATTTATTGCCTGATATAATTGTTTGTTAACAAATAACACATTATGAAAATAGAGCAATATGGTTTTGTATTAATTATTCAGTTGTTGTAAGAAAAAAATAGAAAACTAGAAGATCTTCTATAGAAATATCGTCCTAGAACATTTCAAATGTTTTATTTCTGTTATTTGTTAATAAAATATGTAGAAAGCTTGAAATATAGTAAAAATTAAAAATAGACTTATAATACGTACGAACATATCTGTTTGAGCGTTGACAATTACTTCCGCAGGCCGATTCTTGAGGCAGTCCAAGATATCTTTGCTGGAGCCTGTAGGACAGCCCACGATGGAAGCCAGGGTCTTTGTTTTCTCTGCCGGTTTGATGGAGTGTGTCCAGGAAGCTAAGGCTGACCCGCTGAAGACCATACCTCTTGCGAACGTTCCTGGAAAATTTCGTTTTCATATTATTTGCAAGACTTGGGGTCATAAATGTAATTTTTTACAATGAAGATCGACTGCTCCGATTTATACATTGTGGCCTTGTCAGAAGATAGCAGTGGTAATATATATGAAGTATATAGCATGTATAGAATAATATAAAAATGGATTTATTTTACTATTTTTAGTGTAAGATATGTTTATAATGAGTAGATAAGTACGATATTTAAAAACCTATGTACCGTAATGTATAGTACTAAACTGTAGTATGTTAGATTATATTAAATACAGTTTAATAAGTCCGTTACTTTATTTACATAAAGTAGTAAGATGTTACATTTGAACCCAAAAATATATTGTTTTCCACATAAATTAATTTGCTATATTTTTTATTATCGGTTTACAAATGAAAGAGTTTTGAGGTAACTAACATGAAAATAATTGCGTAACAAACATTTTTTTTGTCTAAATGTTTTGTGATCTCATTTATTACTTTCTTGTGCACATATCTCTGTAACCTAACACAACACCTAACAAATATCTTTAAAGAATAAAACAAGGTCAATACATGATTAGATTTTTGAAATAGTAATTTACTAAAACCTAAAAGTCAAGGATCCTTCCATCATCAGCTCAGCAACATGACATAACGAGTACCAAAATGCAAATATCTTTAAAGCTAGAAAAATAATCTAAAACATTGACATTACATTAACCAACAAATTTGAGGTTTACTCGATTTCTCTAGGATCCCATCATCAGATCCTGATTTGGAGGTAACGGGAATACCCCGGGAGCATACCCTATCGATTACAAAAATAATATCGAAAATCGGTCCTCAATTGACGGAGATATCGCGTAACAAAGATACAAAAAAAATACAAAGTTGGTTAAAAACATATTACAGCACCGTGACAAAAGCAAACTGTCTACGCTTACAAAATATTGTACTTTTCTAAATTTAAATGAAACAAACATTAAAAAATGCGGGAAGGTGAATGAGTTAGGTAACAAGAACTTGAATTTCCATTGTAAATTATTCATGTCTATTTATGTATGTTCGCCTCTGCTGATATAAAGTTTATTATCAAGAATGCAGCGAAAATGTAATTAAGTCTATGTTTACTTGTTTGCTATGCCTCTAGAGAAACATGTTTATTAGAGAATAACAACGCATAAGTGAACGAACTCGAAACAAAGGACTTGATATTATGATATTGTGTCCTGTAAAAGCTCTTAACTCGAGATAATTACGTACAAACAAGACTATTTGCAAGGTTCTAGGTAAAACGGTAATAAACGCGGACATAATACCTTGGGTAAAGCTTACTAAGTTTAAGGAATAGAAGTAATGAGTTTTACTCATATATAACACGACGGGTGACCTGTATTAAGTGGTAAAGGGACCGCGTCGGTGTCAGTGCAGTGCCTGACACCATCAAGTCAGTGATATTTTTTATTAAATAGAAGGCAAACGAGAAAGCGGGTCACCTGATGGCAAGTGAATACCGCCGGTCATGGACACATAAAACTCAAGAGACACATATTGTACGTTGCTACTGTTTGTGTGCCCCACACTCAAAATTAGAAGAAACTTGGGGGGTTGGGCTCCAGTAATCTCATTTACTCGGAGAACAGGAATGAAAGAAATGTTTGATAACGATAAGTCGGCTCGACCGGAGGCTCAATTTATTTCAAAGAAAGAAAGGAAACATATTTTATTTCTAAAACACACGACAAAAAAATTATAAATTAAATATAATATAATAATAAATTAAAAAGTTGGCACCTGTATTTTTAATTTATTATTATATAAATTGAAAATACAGGTGCCAACCCTGTACCAAAAACATACAGTTTGAAATGTGCTAGCCATGTCACATATCACGCACAATGTGGCAACACTGGCTACGTGGCACTCACCACAGCGGCACAGCCACACTGGCACTTACGTGTCAAGTGTATGACGTGGAAACACCTCTTTTTTTTTGTTAGAGTCACAAAATACTTTTGTTGCAATTAATCCGTTATGTTAGTGAGAGATGCGTCGTGTATCAGAAATTTGGATGGACACTTAGCTTTCAAGCTACTTTCAAATAAATAAAAAAAAACTAGTTAAATGTAGGCAAACCTTATTAATGATTTCTGTAAGTAAATCTTTTCAGATATTTTTACAAGTCGGACATTAGAGCTAGATGGAGTCGGCATTTCCTAAGATACTCTGGGAATAAACGCCGAAACAATCCACAGAGGTGTCTTTTTTTAGTCCGTAAACAAAGTTAAATAAAACTGTGTGAGTATAGGGTCTGGGTAGGCCATTTGAAGAAAGGATAATAGTTTTGAGTCTGCCTGTCCGTACAGACAGCATACAGGCCTCAGCCATCGTGTAGCTTAACCGATATTGGTCAAGATCGACGACCCGAAGCACGACACTACCGCCAGCAGGACATTTGGGTAGGCCGTGGTAACACTCAAAACAGTGGTTTTGAGTGTTTCAACTGTGGGAAAGTTATTAAAATATGAATTAACATTACAAGCCTACACTATACTCACATTTACATACTTACACAAAAAAACTATACAATTCAAATTCAACCAAAAAATAAACAAATTGAAAAAAAAAAACAAAATACGAAAATACAACAACAAAAATGTCCATCACTCTCAAACATAACAACAATGATAGGAACGTAAATCTGGGAGTGAGCAGCACCAATCCCAAGCAAAGTCATCTACATAATCTGTAATTTTAAACCACTGGGGGTTTCTGCGGCATGCTACAACCTGCAAAATCAATTTAGTACATAACAATTAATAACTAAAACAACATAATCAATTAAAAAATAACATTTACTTAATAGTATTAAGTTTAGGGTAGAATACAAAAACATAACAATGACGAGCGAGCGGACACTTTTATGAAATTTTGTGAAATTTTCAATTTCTTTTTTATTAACTTCTGTTTTTCTTTGTCTAAAGGAAGGATTTAAATTATTTATTAGGGGGGGAATAAAATACTTGATGGTTCTTTCACCGTAAACATTCACTGCACGGACAGACAGCTCCAGTCTTTAAGAAGTGTTCTTTAAGTAGACCAAAAGTCGCGTGTCTTTTATCATAAACCAAGTTCAAAACAAAGAATTTGTTTGTTGTTTATCAATATCCTGTCTTCATTTTTAGGGTATTTTTTTGTGTACAAAAAGAATAAATAAATAGGAATAGGATAGTTTTTTTTATTAAGTCACAACACAAGGGAGTAAATGATTTAAAATACACCAGGTATTTATTTTTCATTTTGGTCAGATTTTTATTTTGTATTGAGCAAATAAAAAGGAAAATAAAATATTGTCGAAATAAAGTTAGTTTCAGAATTTTATTAACACAATCTAACCCCACAGATTTGCGACAGCGCCGCAAAATCCGGTTCCCGGTGGAAAAACGTTAAATCCACTAGTTGAAACTCACATGTAGAATACCATAGCTTATACACGAATTCGCCTGTTAACGATTAAATATGAGAGAAACTGTAACTAACTGTCCTTCGCTTCGTAGAAGTGTTCTCGGTGCAAACTCCACCTACCAAACACACACATATATATATAGTTATATAGATACATACTGGCTCACTTACCAAATTCCGCAGTACCATACAAAATACTTTTAAAAGGTTCTTTGTTTGCTTCTATCTGTTTTTGCCAAATCCTACTTGCATAAATTTAGCATAAGCATACAATAATGGTTGTTTATAGCGTATGAGGTATACAATTATAATACCCTTGTTAGAAGCCATTTTGAATATGCATGTGTAGTTGGGAATCCTTGCTAGCAAAACTATGCAGACCGGATTAAGAATATCCAGAAAAAGTTCATAAAATATTTGTGCTTTCACCAGAAAGTACCGTATCACCTAGAGATTTACCTTAGTGTTTGTAAGAAGTACCATGTACTACCCCTTACAATGCGACGTGACATCGCTGATTTTATGCACTATTAAGAACTCGCTTTAACCTACCGCTGAGTGTACCATTTGCATTGACGAACTATAGAAAAAAATCTTTTGCCGTGTTAGTGTGTGTGAACAATCTGGTATTGATATTTTTAATGTTGGTGTATCATGAGCGAGGAGGTGTTTAAGCATTAAATTCTTCAGGGGTAATGGTGAGGGGTCCGTGTAATTATTGTTATAAGTCCTGTCCATACATAATATCTGTTGATAATATTTCTTTATTTAACTTTATGCACTTTGGTACATCGGCGGACTTAACCCGTTCGCGGACGCGTCAGCTAAAGCATTCAGTGAATGTTACAGACGGCGCGTCATTCTGTACAAGTCACTAGTGAGTGACTTGTACAGAATGACGCGACGGATATACAATTCCTTGTTATTTTGTACTCTAGAGGCACAATTGCTTTAGCAGTCGAATTTTTATACCACTACCGTGTAGTTCATTATCAAGACAAGTGAAGAATTCAATGTGGGGGACATTGAATTCTTCAATTTGCTAAGTGTGTTAACATATATTTTTACACACACAAACGTGTTACTATTCGCCGACCTATTGACGTAACTGTCATAGTAGTGTCTTTTGGATGACGATTTGTTCTGTTGTCTGGCGAGTGCACCGCTGAGTGGAAGTGACGTGTGTGTTTTGCGTCCGCCTTTAGATTGTCCTTTTTTTTTATCGGATACCACCTGTCGGTGGCATGTCGGACTCGAACCGACTAAAACCGCACGCCGTCTCGGGTACTAATAGTCGAGGAACAAGGTATGCCCCGACGCCTTTAGATTGTCCTAAGTAACGACTATAAGTATTTCTTTATTCTGAATAATATTTTCAAATCAAAGTTATTTAAAAGTTAATATTATTCACAATAATTAACTTCTAATTCAATATTTGCATATAAGCTTCCTGCATTTCTATATTATAAAGATTTGTATTTCAAAACTATTGCCGTTTTAAAGTATAACCGATTTAGTTTTTTTTGTTGACGCTGTGGAAAATCCCACTGGCTTCCCCCTGTCTGTTGGCCCTGTTGATTAAGCCTTGTAAACAATTTTTATTAATCAATCAATCAATTACACTGAAAATTTTGTATCTACACAAAATGCTCCTATGACTGTACAATTGTCACAATTGTCAAACTTACAGAGGGATAACGATCGGTAGCAACCTACGATACATAATCAACGACCTGCTTTTTTTTTCTTTTTTTTTCCGTGTGTTACCCTCGGGCCGTCACCCCACACGGTGTGCCACTCTGCGCCTGTAATAGGAGGGATCCGGGAACTGCTGTTGTGCCGTGCCGGGAACATAATCAACGACCTGCTGCATCAACTTTAGAACTTTTTTTGAATCTAGATCTGATTTGATGATGATAGGTAGAACTGACAAATTTATACGGTGTTGCATTAGGCCTAACTACCTCCAATAACAGGCTGGTGTCATATATGGTGGTGGCATATATGTATATAAGTATAAAATAATATGTTTAGCAATTTGTTTTGTCTATCTATTAATCTGAATGTACGAGCATCGCTCAAAAACTGCACGAATTTGATGTGATTTTTATAGGCTTAATGCTTTAAATCTAACTTAAAATCTTATGCATGTGGGTCTACTGGGCTGTTCAAACCAGATACGATCTAGGGCCAATATAAATGATTAAATATATTGAAGGGTCGCAAAAAATACAGGTGTGTCATTGTTTTTCGATTTTCTTGCTTTTTTATTTATTTTTCTTTTACAATTCTATTAATATCAACATCAATATTAGTTGTTGCTAAACGCAGTGAATGCGTAAGTGACGTATCTGTCAATAGATACCTATATTTCTATTTTATAAACTGTATAGTTAAATATGCAATTTCACAAACATAGGTATTGTTCGTTATCGAACCCATGACCCGTTATTTTCCATTCAAGAGAAGAAAAATCGCCATCTCCTCTGTTGTGGTTACAGAACGTTGCTTCGAATAGAGGTAGAAAACTGATTGATTTTACTCGTATTATCTAAAGGTGGATGAAAAACATATTGTGGGCCCCATAAATTCAAAACGTGAGCCACATGCGGCTCGTATGCCGTTGTTTGGACAGCTCTGGTCTACTAGATACATAGCTTAAGATAATAAATAAAAGATATCCCATACCTCTGGACATGGGCGACAAGTAATGGTAGTGCACACTGGCGCCACCTGCCGAGGCGCCCGTGAGTGTGATGCTATCAGGATTTCCACCGAACATCATGATGTTGTTCTTGATCCAGTGAAGCGCGAACGACTGGTCTTTCAATCCGTAGTTACCAGGGATAACATCGTCACCCGTACTCAAGAATCCTAGAGGTAGATAGATGAATTGAAAATACTTTTAGAACACAACCGATACAGTACAAGTGTCTTTCACGCATGTGTCAGACATTATAATGTACAAAGAAGGTCCATAGAAGTTTGAAACAACTTAAGCGTTTTACTGAATTCAGAAATGTTCATGTTTTTGTAGCCCAAATATGACTCATTATCTTATACAATAATAATAATAACCTCAAAAACAAACAACGCGCTTTATTAAAAAGCGCGCTCAATGCTTGTCATCTCAACATAGTTTGAAAGTATTCCTGGTTGCGTCATGCCCCTAATTCTCAGAATATTTTTTCTACTTCTTCCAGAAATTACAAAGAATATTCTATCAGTTCCATGTCAATTAATTCCAGTACACCTTTTTTTTTTTTTTTCCCTGCGGAAATCCCCTCGGATACCACTTATCGGTGGCATGTCGGTTCGAGTCGAACCGACTAAAACCGCACGCCGTCTCGGGTACTAATAGCCGGGGAACCAGGTATACCCTAGAAAGGAAGTCCCTGGTGCCCCGACATACCCCGGGCCATCTACAGACGAGTAGACGACCCCCCCCCGTGTGGGAACCCCATGTTCCCCTGCTCCATGGAAGCGAGCGCGCTTCGCAACGCGCTCGCCGCTTCTGCTAGGGTGACAGATTGCCTCACCTGTCACCCCCAGGCCTGCGCTTATGGAGGACGGAGATCGTTTTGCGAATTCCAGTACACCTAGGCACAGTCCCTTTCTTCTACATGCCTATGACCTTTCCCGTAGTCAAAACTAGGGTGAGCAAAATTTTATGAGTGTCGGTCGAGTTTTTTCCTTAAAGGGTAACAATCTAACTGTTATTCTCATTTGTTACATTAGATGATACTCACCAAGGGGTCCAAGCCTGTAGTTGAAGGTAACGACCACCATGTCCCAGTCCATGATGTTAGTGGCTTCATAGAGGCTCCCTTCTCCGTACATGAAGGCGCCTCCGTGGATAAAGACCATTACCGGCAACATAGCGCCTGGCTGCAGCCTTGGAGTGTGAACGTTAACAAACAAACAGTTCTCGCTACCTGCTCGACAAATTACCTTAATGAATATGTGTTTTCTCATACGGAAATAAAAGGTTTCCCTAGTCTACATTTTAATTAATTTATAGAAAATATTTGAGTTAGTTAATTAAATCTAAATATATAAATTGGTTTCAAATGTTAACGAGTTTGATTATATTATAATTATGGCAGTTGTTGAAACTCAGCCCTCAGCCCGAGTTTACAAGGAACCATTACGTATTGCTTTGAACATTTTAATATTATTATCGTTTTCATTGATGGGGTCGAAAGAAGAAGGTTGGTGTTGATGTGACGACCGATGTTATTGGTTTTATAGCTTTGTTTGCCTGAGAATAAGGTTGAATTTATCATACTACAACTGAAAACAATACGCTTTTATTAGCTTGTTGTGTATGCATGTATCTATGTATCTAACGGAATCTTTGAACGTGATTTTGACCCACTTTAAAGCGTCAAATTAAATTGAAACTTTGCACACTTATTAAGGACCAATGACAATGCAATAATTTAAATAGTTTTTCAAATCATCATTATCAGGATCTTCAGAATTAACGACTTTTTCCATACCCAAAAATACACACGTACAATAATTAATCTATAAGCTGCCGTTATTCGACACTAGATGGCACTGCAAGCAAGTATTGGAATTAAGAAACATAATCTCAATGCGTTGCGTTGAGCCCCACTTGATACTAAATGGCGCTGTCCTCCAGACACAACACAAGAACCACTCAATCCTATAACGCAACAACTCGTCCCAATGGGTGGTCGTGAACTTGATGCAACCAATGGCGTGCAAGTTTTCCCTATGAGCGAGTGTAAGTGTTTCGTTGTATTTACTATTAGTTTGTGTGCGTGGTGGAATTCAAAGCGGCAATTATAGAAAGGTTCTAGAGAACTTATTATTCGTAGCGATAAAATGATTCACATCACATCAACAGCCTTAATAGTCCACTGCTGGACATAAGTCTCCCCTTAGAAAGGAAGATTTGGCCTACTATACCACGCTGGCCAGACGGGTTGGTTTAGGGTGTGTACAGCCTCATGCCGCCCTGAGTGTGGCCGCGGGTGGACGGGGTGGGTTTCCCCTCCACCCGCATTAGTTGGCCAGCCGCGAGGGGGCGGCGTCCGCGTGTGCCGGACGTCGCCTAAAGAGAGGAACATCTACATTGAGACGGAGCCCGCACCAGGAGCGGGCTGGCGCTAGGAGGGGTCCGGATGTCTTAACAACAGCTGTTCCCGGATCCCTCCTGTTACAGGCGCAGAGTGGCATACCGTGTGGTTTTAGTCGGTCCGAGTCCGACACACCACCCCGCCGCAAACCCCGGAGGGGTGACGGTCCGAGGGGATTTCCACACGTTAAAAAAAAAAAAAAAAAAAAGGGTGTGTGTCAAGTTTTCCTTTTCTCTACAGTGCGGTTGTTCTGCGTAGTTAGAAAAAATATTGATAAAATGATTATTATTTTTGAATGCACAGAAAATTACTTCTTACTTTTCAGTTCGTCTGGCTACAAAAGCGTGTATTTTAAACTATATTTTATTAATTAAATGATCCTTTTTAGGTTATCTACGAATGAAAGAACCTGTTCTTCATATAGTATAGATAAGACATGTGAAAAGACGTGTCTGTTATAGATATCGGTGAATAAGTATTCGCGTAAACGTATTGTCTTTTAGAAGTCATTGGTGTGTTAGGTTGGTTATACTGGACTGGGAATCTTCAGAAATCAATTTGATTTTAATCAGATCCGGTACTGATTATAAATATTGTTATAAAATAATAAGTCATGGTTAGTAACCACAAAACTAAGAGGCCCACAAATCAGAAGAACTACACAACCGGTAATAAAGTGTTGATCTAAGGCGTTTGTCTTTTCGGAGATACTTAAATCTCATCACCAATTTTCAGCCAATAGATATAAAAATGTAAGTAGAGAGAAAATGTTACCATCAAGTTTCATATCGAAAGGGTTGTATTGTAGACAAGCAGGCAGAGGTTTTGTGGCGTCCCACACTCCTGTCCATGGCTTTAGCTGTTGTGGTTCCTGCAAACAAAAAGAAGGAAAGTTAACTTCGCTATTAATTATTGTTTAATGGAATAGGAGGGCAAACGAACAAATGAGTCACCTGAAGTGACTCCTACTGTCAATGCCGACATTTGATTATTACAAATTGGAAAATACATCTTAGACGTCAAAGAGCCATTGCATCGCCAGACACAAATGGGTCGATCCGACCAGACTGATACCACGGCCTCAGAGAAGACTGGTGTTAAACAATTTTTTCGTGTTGCTTCTTACCGAATGAGTGAAGTTACCATTCACCTCCCTGCCCCGGATTGTGGGGGACACAAATAGCGACCATATGTGTCAGGCACTACACGAAAGGCGCTTAAAAAGATATAATTTGTGTATTTTTCTAAAAGCAACACCATTTGAACGAATTGTTATCCTCTTGCCAAGCTAATCAAAGACAATGGCTTATAAATTATTCATGTCGAAGAAATAATTTAGTTTTCATTAATTTACAAATACATTGTGGAATACAGTGTGGAAATTGAATTTCCATTTCAGATAAATATGCATTAGCATTCATTTCTAATCAACGACGTTTTTATCATTAATTTTGTTACGTATCACTCTTTCAGGGCTATCAGCCTTAAAAATCCTTTTATTATAACCAAACTTCAAAATAACCTACAAGCATAGTAGTCTTTTAAAACGGCTATGACGTGAGGAAGCAAAGCGCCCTAATTTAAGGGCATTGGAGGATCGCTAGACTCTAATGTGTCACATCATTTCACATCTCGGCTCAGTCACCCGACTACGGACCAGCACCGCCTCTCCTCCAGCGGTTTTTGCTTGGAGTTCTATGGATGTACGCTCACTACAACAGTGGAGTGCCTCGCCCGTAGGTTGACCGCTTGCGGACGGCGAGTGGACAACTTGGTGACCACCCGTTGCTCGCACTCTTGTCTTGCGTTGCCCACGCGCAGGTCCTGAACGGATTGCGCGCTGTCCGCGAGTGATTCACGCGCGAGGTAGTAGGGTAGGAGGGTAGTTTGGTCCCTCAATCGACTCTTACGACACCCACGAGATGAACAGGGGTGGTGACACTCTGTATTCTTAATTCGTCACCACACGGATTGGACATTGCAGTGACCCGAAATAAAATTGGGAAACTCTAGAAAAATGATAATGAATGCTGATAATGTTATTTTCAAGCAAAAATGATTTTAATTTAAAATGCGTAATAAGATTTCTTTTATCGGCGTTGGAATGTGATTTTACTTTCTTATCGACAGCTAAATGACGATTTCTATTGTGAAGAGAGCTTCTACAGAGTTTCATTTTTAATTTCGTTGAGGTATCTACATAATTATCAATTTAAAATTTTAACTTACTTTAAGAAATACAAGTGGATTATAAAATCAATGGAGGTAAAATTTCTTCAAAAGCAAAAAAGCTCAGCACAAAAAATAAATTCACAGGAAAATTGGCAATTTGTGTGGAGACGTTATTTGATCGTAAATTAATTGAATCAGAAATTTCATTTTTAGTAAAATTTTATCCTTTGGAAGCTGTTTAAGGTTTTTTGTTGACTTCAATGTACATAAGATTTAATATTGCTTTTTAGATTTAGAAATAAGATTGATGCTTATTCAGTTACCTTAAAGTAAATTATCGTTATTCTGGCATCACAAAATGAAAGTTCCAATTCTTAATTATTATCTTTTTCAATCATTAATATCTAGTGCATCTATTCACACATTTCATCACCACTGTAAAGTAGACTAGGAGAATATGCCTGTGGTATTAAGTCCGCCATTGTGCAATTTTCATATGTGCATTAAGAATTACATAAATAAATAAAGCATTACATAAAACTGTGAAATTAGATTCGTTATTATTTTAAAGTTTTTTTTTACTACTTATTCATTGCATTAAAGTTAATGATTTAATGATATCAAAGTATGATTTTAAAAGTTATTTTCTATAAGTTTTGAAATCGTTTTGATGTCCCAACCTGACATTTCTTACACATGCAGTCTGATGTCAATTTAGGCAGAGCCTGTAGATATTAGACTGCTGATAATATTACTTTTAAAATTTTAAGTACATATATATTATAGCTAAATTACACCAAGACACAGTATAAACAATTGTGCAAATCACACAGTTATTTCTACTAGGTTTGAACCTACACCTCATTCACACTAGAGGTACAGGACTGTCAGATTATAGTTTAGTAAAACAAAAATACCACGATTTAATAACAAACTAAATAAAAAGAAAAAGAGTTCAACCTTCTGGTTCAATGATTGACGTGCCATTAACAAGCCACACCTTAAGCTCTTTGTCATATCCGCATACTTTCAGACAGCATGACTGTCGAGCAATGGAGGGCAAGCACAATGAAATCTGGTAGTTCAATTAAATTTTTAATTTATTCAATGTAAATCTAGTAACAAAACTCATAGTGCTAGCAAAAATTTGACATGTAGCTATGTTAGTAAATAATAAACACAATGAACACTGACTGAACATGAGACGATAGGTATTATGCCGAAGATTTAGTAGAAAGTCTGCAATACCGGTTTACGATTCGGGTAGAGATCATTTTTAGAATTTGTTGTTGGTTGTTGTTGGTGCTGCCCTGCATTCTTACGCATTACTGTATAAAAGTAATCAACGCGGGCTTCTGCAAAAATCCCTGAAGCACTACAGAAACGTGGAGCAGCAAACCACAACAAATTGGTTTCTTCTCTAATGGATTACAGGGTATAACAATTTACACGAAATCGACACTGCAGATGAGCTGGCAAGATGGGGCAGCAGAGGCTCTCAAAGCAGATGAACGGCGCCCACGTAATCCTGGAATGCGAGAGAGTGCCCTCACATCGGGCAATTATCATAAATGATACAAAATCGCTCCGCTTCTGGAAGGAGCTGGGCTGGCTCTCCTAGCCAAACTTACCACGACGTATAAAGGACCGTTCTTGAATCTAAACGCAGAAACCGGAGCCCACGACCAATGCCAGTACCAATACCAAAAGCTGTTGGACATATGAGTCAGAACTCGAAGATATTAAACAGTATTTTTATGGTTTAAGGGAACAAAAGAGCAGACTGATTACCTGATGGTAAGTAATTACCACCGCCCATTGACACCTGCAACTCGAGCATCACAAGTACGTTGCAGCTCTTTGAATCTCTTTCTCTAGAAACCGAGGGTAGGGTAGGAGGGTTTTTTTTAGATTGAAAGACAACAAATGAGGAATACTATACATTTCTGTGTCGCGGTGGACTTTACAAACATACATGAGACGGAAACTAAAAACACCCAGACTCAGAAAAACAATTTGTAGATCACAAAAAGTGTTGTCCAATGTGGAGCGAACCTAAAACACGCAGAGCATTAGAAAGCGGCGAGGTGACCGCTTAAACCACTACGCTATCCCTGCATTCGTAATGATTTAAATTGGATTAAAAAAAAACCCTAAGGGGCAAACTTAGGAAATGAAGAATACAGTTTATTGATATTCATTATGATGTTGGCCCATTGAAGTCTCATTGAACGTTTTTAAAGACTTTGGTAAAGATAAAAGTGGATTATTAACTTCCAACTCCTTCAATTTATTTCGGATTAATTTTCTTGCTTGTCTTACGGCCCAGACAGTTTGACTTTTAGATTCTGATTAATTATTATGTAAGAAGTTATTATTCTTTATACAAAATAAAGTGGAGTAAACTCCTTTTGGTATATATGTCAGGATATTGCCACGGTTTGATGCTGTCAAGAGTTTGAATCCCGACCTGAGAGTAAACTTTTACGCAACATAAATTACATTTCTTCAAATTATACTCGTATTAATTTTAATTTTAAATCTTTTTTGTTATAATTTAAATTGCATTGCAACACTTGGAACACGCACGAAGTAATAAAAAAAAGATTATTTCCACCACAAACGACACAATGTACAGTGATTTATAAAAATTAGCGCGAAAATAAAAGTTGTAGTTTGAGCTGGACTGGAGCCTAAGTTAGTCGATGTATTGTGGTGCATTTGAGTGTGTGTGTGTGTGTGTGTGTGTGTGTGAGTGTGTGTGTGTGTGTGTGTGTGTGTGTGTGTGTGTGTGTGTGTGTGTATGAGTAAGGTTTTTGTGTTTGTTAGCTTGAAGTTTGCGTCACTTAACAACAGTGATAAGTGATTCTGTGTCTGTATATGATGGTTTAATTAAATTATTGTGGATAGCAGATTTACACTTATATGTCGTTTTGGAGAAAATATTTTATATTGTTCAACTTATTGTACAAATACGAATACGAAAGAGATTTTGTCGTCTGAGAAATACAGTTTTATGTTAAATACGGTCACATATTCCATTCCTTCTTCTGGATGAGTACGTAGTATGTGGGTCATAGTGAGTTACTTTATGTACACGGAGGATACTATTTAATATAAATATTTGACGAACTATCATGACATTGGCATCTTTATTTAAATTGATTGTTGGAAAACAAAAAGGCTTTCTGAGCATGACTTAGACTTAGTAATAAGTACCTATTTTAAATTGTAACACCTGAATTTATGTTCACTTAGATGGAATAAATACAAGGTGTCTCAAAAGAAAGTTTATATTTATTTAGCTTACTTCGTGAACGCAACGAGTCCGAGGGGCGCGGTGGTTATGTCAATCGGTAGCCTGGCTCTTGGGAATTCAGTCGCTATGGAGCGTTTCTCGGGAGCAGACCGTGCGTTGAGCGTGCGAGAGTTTTACAAAAACGGTGATTCGGCGACTGTAGGTTCTGTAGCGTTCGAGGTTTTCGCCATTTAAATGATGCGCCAAGCATTCCTCTTATTCGAAAATGGGTCAAAAAGTTTGAAGAGACCGGTAAAACGCTGGAAAAACCAAAATCCGGGCACCAAGGTCATCAAGAACGGTAGAAAACGTGGAGAGTGTTAATCAGTCTATTCGTGACGACCCGAACCTTTCAATTCGGAAGCTTTCATCATAAAACCGCATTTTGCACAAAGACCTAA